TTTTTTGTCAAACTAATAACGAATTACATACATACTTGCAAAAATAACATAATGGAAGAAAATTCCATGAAATTCATACTATCGATCAAGAAACGAAAATTAATTAGAAAGATTAGAAGCGAAAAACGGGGATTGCAAATTGTTTGCTATTTTATCGTGTCTATTGGCTGCCAGCATCCAACGCGCGCGTGTTCCAACCACGTACGTATGCACGTATACGCTCCTCGTACAGTCGACGCGAGAGTGATTTTCTATATAGGATGCGACAATGTGGCGCCAAGATCTCGTACCAAGCCAGTTTCTGCTGTATACATTCGTACACACGCGCGCACATGCATACCAGCCTTGCTCTGATCTGTACACATATATACACGACTATACAGCATGCAGGATTAATGCTTGAGAAGCGACCAGTCATTCGGTTGTTTCGCATCTTTGGCAAAAACACAACGAACACGCTTTTTTCCAAGCGAACACCACTTGACACCACACGATATGTATAGGTATATATGTATATGTATGTGTGTATGTACATATACAGAATGTACCAGAAGTCACGGTACAAATTGGGTCAAGGCTCAAAATTTTGAAAACAATGCATTTGAAAATCAGTCGAGTACACTGCACTACACTAATATGTAATTATCTTATAGACATCGTACAAACTACCATCCTGACAGTTTCGTATTCGATATAACGTCAGGGTTCTGTTTATTATTATTACTTGTGTATCAACACATTCTTAAGGCAAGCTAAACGTAACAATTTAGATAAGAAAGTATTAATGTATCGTATCACGTCGATCACTAATGGCTTGATCAACATGATGTATAGTTACCAATACAGCATCCAGATAGCAGACGAAACCTAATACTAACTTGTACCGAACACGGTAGCCATTTGATGAAATCTAGGAGACAATTGTCGGTTCAGTACTCGACTGATTTGTATGTTTCTTGAAAACGAAGCCCACGACGCAATCCTCGTGTGTTATTCTCAATTTTCCTCTTGTTTTGAGCGAATCGCCTTGATCCAATTTGCACAGATGACTTTTGAGACACCCTGTACATCTTTGATTCTCATCGATGTTCATCTAAATATATATATATATATATAGTAAATATTGACTCACATGCTTGTTATTGATACTGTTACTTTTCAGGAAGATCATTCAGTACAAATTCGACCGAAGATCAAACAATGCAACGTCCAACTGACGTAGGATTAATTTCTTATTCTCGATCAAGCTACACGTGTTTCTCTACCAACAACTTTCAATCCATTTCTCCTACTTATCGAATAAGCGCGATTAAATTTTATTTTTCAAATTAAAAGTGAAGAAGTACCTCTGCTTCAATATGCAGTTAAAGAATAATTCAAAGTACGTTACATCGTATTTTCCTGAAATGCACAAGGTTTAAACTATAAACGAGTGCGACATCTAGCGGCGGAAAGAAAAAGTTGTGATTGATACCAATTTTTACATGGACATTCACTCGTTTTAATTAATGATATTCTATAATAATTAATGTAGCAATACAACAAATATTATTAAGTTAAATTTATTTAAATTTCACGTATAACGATGCGGTTTTGCCGAGCGCTTGCTTTTCAAATTGATTCTAAACTGAATTTTCCCATTTTTCCCGCCATTTGTTCCTCTTTCTTCAATTCTTTAAATCGACGTGGCCATTGATCCAGTCGGTAAAGAAGAAACGCGCGCACCACTATGATAAATCGAAACTAGCTCCCTCTTCAGCATCTTTATTTCAACGATTGTTCAAACGTCATTTTCGATTGATAGATGTCATTGTCGAACGTAAACAACTGTTCGTATATACGATACAGCTTTCAACGCATGCATGCATTGAAGAATGCTAAAGTACGTTGCGTTGTTACAAACGTTTTTCACGATAAACTATCTCTATGATATTTTCCCATTGTACTTCGTAAAATAATACAAAAATGAGTAAGTGACGCACATTTTTATTACGAGCATTTCTGTACACGTGTGATGTGACACATGCATTTTAGGTTCACAAAATGGCTGGAGAAACCAGATGCAAAATAATTTATCGCAGCCAATCGTCAGAGGAAGAAACGCAAAAGACGTTGTCTACTACTCTCAGCCAAGTTCAAGCTCAAGCTCTTTATCACAAAATTCGTCTCTTGATCACGCGACTTCTAAAGAGAACGATCAACTTGTTAATAGTCTGATACGGTATCTTCTCATGTTGGATGAAGGGAAACAAATTATTAGTAAAGCTCGTATAATAAAAAACGTCTTTGGCAATCGTGGGAAACATTTTGCTCAAACGATGAACAAAGTGAAGAATCTCTTGTCAACGGTACAGATAAAATTGCAACTTTCTGATTGTTTTGATCAAAGTTCTCCATATATTCCATATTTCATGTTTGCAGGTTTTTGGATATCAACTGATAGAACTGGAAAGTGGCAAGTACATGCTGGTAAATGAAATAGAAAACACATTGCCACATATTGAGCCTTCTGCGACCGAGAGTAGCCAAATGATACTACTGTTTCTAGTACTCACTCATATCTTCATGCTTGAAGATTGTTGTAGTGAAGGTAGTAACATAAAACATATGTAAGATACAGTGGAGAACACAACTGTGCCAATGATAGACTTCTATGTTTGAATTTTTACAATTTTCAAGACAAATATGTCCTGTTATGTGATGTAAAATCATCTTCAGAAATAACAAACTCATGACTGTTAAAGTAGAAGCTTCACTCTTACAAAATGAGACCTCTTACAACAAGGATGATTTGTTTCTTTTCACTAAGTTGTACCAGTTTAAATCATCCACAATTTTTCATTGTCATTGGCACAATTGTGCTCTTCATGGTGTATATAAAAAACATTGCTTGAGAATAATACCAATCCAAATTATTTCAGAGTCATTGTGGAGCTTTCTCACGAATTTAGGTATTCCTTGCGAAGACGATCAACAGCATTCTTATTTTGGTAACGTCAAGCAGTTGATAAATGAGGTAAAAAGTAGAATATGAAAAACAGAGGCAAGTCAAAGATATTACAAATCTAATAGAGAATGAAGATTAAAATGAAACTGATTTGTTAGTAGATCTTCGTTGCTCAAGGATACCTTAACAAGATAGTCTTAGAAACAAACGATTCGACAAACGTGGAATATAAATGGGGATACCGTGCGGAGTACGAATTTTCTCGACGTACGGCTTTAGAATTCGTGTCTCAGGTGAGAATGTGGTAATTTCAAATATATATCCAGCGATAAAAGTTATATTTTTATAACAGGTGTATGACGGACGTCCGATAAACAGTTGGCAACTGCAATTCAAGACTTTAATTGCCCGAGAAGCGGCGGCAAATAAATAAATCTCAGAAACATACCGTCGCAAATGTGATAAGGAACAGATTATTATACTTTAAGTAATAGGCTACTTATAAAGTGTACCTTTTTTAAATACAAGGATAACGTATAAACGAAGTTTATTTACAACAGCTTACCAAATAGTTTTAAATCTAACCGACGCGGAATTAGATTTCTGGTCTGGTTGTTACGATCCGATCCATCGAATAACCCAGGTAATAATCGACGCTTGAAAATTTTTCCAAACGTCCCTGAGAGCAACCGTAAAACTGCAATGCGAGATTAAAGCGCGCGTGCATGTGTATATGTGTGTGCGTGCGCGCGGACTGTCGAGTTCAGTAGAAGAGTCGGAAGGAATTTAAAATGCTCAGCTGCCCTAGTTTCAACTGAATCTAATCGGATTCATATTTCCGTTTCTAATTTCGTTACTACGTCGTAAAAATGCAACGACGAGGAGCGCTTATAAGCGAAAAAGAAAGAATTCCTCCATGCATTTTTAACGCGTCCTTTGCAAGCAAAAGTTTCCCGCTCCCCTTGCAAGATGCATTTCGGTGACGTGAGAAAGGGATGAAAGAAAAGGGTGAAAGTGTAATATTCGAGTTTGATTCGAAACGAAATCCTTGACCATACTTTCGACGTACACACGGGCAGGTGTATGACAGTTAAATTCTTATTCAAATGTAACAAACGAACGGTACAAGCGAAAAACATCTGACTTGGAATATTGAAAAGAACGAACGATACGATTGGCGAAGTGGTACGTGTTTGAACGCGGAGCGTTTCTATCGGCGAGCAGGGATAGAAACGCGCAGTTACCAGCGATCGAGGTGGAAATCAGCTGGGCCAGCGAATCTGTGTCAGGCTGGGGAGATCTAAACTAGCACGAAGCTTTACCCAATACTCAGTATTCGGCCGTCCTTCTCGGTAGGTGGTGCGATACACTCACTGGTTTCTGCACCATCGCAGTGTACCGCGCGCGCTGTATCCAGCCTAATTGTTATTTTCATCCGACAACGAGCGCGCCGCGTTTGTTGCGTTTACACAACTTCTTGCAAATTTTTTATTTATCTCGCTTCAACGGAACCAATTCACTGAACCAATTTCGTGCACATGCACGCGTACGCGCGCGCGCACGCATTTGTGCACACGCACGTACCAACGTACACGCAACGCGTTGCTAAAACGCCGAAGTGGAAGTTGGCGTACGAGTAAAATGAAATCGCGGGACGGCGATACGGCAATCGCGAAACAACGACACGCAACGTCGTTCAACGTGTAACACCGTCCGCGTGGATAATCGATAAAATGTGGAGAAAGTGCGAAACCGACCGTTTGCCGATTCTGCACGTTCGAAAACAGTCGAGCACCGTATCGAACAGATACTTCTTTTGGTCATGACGTATATTTGAATCTCTCCACGCACGATAACCGATCGAGCAACGAACCAAAGGGCTCGCCTGTTACGCCTTACCATTTTACGCGTTATCATTGAAAAAAAGAGGGAGAAAGAGGAGGAAGACTTGCCGAGCTACGCGATTTCAAGACAATACAACAACAGGTTCGCCCATGTGAATGATAAACACCACGTTGTGTTCGTTAGACAACGCATTATCGACGACATTTATGACAAATGGAAGAAGCGTGAAATACGGTGTACGTAACATTTAATTCTATCTGTCATCATCGTCGGTGACCAAAGGAGAGGAGAGCAACTGTAGAGTAAAAATTGTTATTTAGCGTTTGCGTGTGGTCGCGAGAGGCAAGAGGCGAGAGGAGAGATCTGAGACAAGATGTTCAATCTCTACCAAAATTTGAACAAAAGGGACGAGGAGCACAAGGAGCCGGACGTGACCGGGCACGATAGGTTCTGGCAGGAACGTCCGAGGACACGCCGGAAACGTCGTGCCGTGAATCGAAGGACACAGAGCGCCATCGAACTCGACTCCGAGGCTATAGTCTCCGCCCGTGGCACTCTTCGCCGCGGGAGGAGCGCGAGCATCGAGGATGAAGACAGCGACGAAGAGAAAAGCTACCAATTGACCAACAAGATCGACAATCTAGCCAAGATACTGTTTAGCCGCGTGTCCGCTGCACGAGGTTGCAAGGATCCCGACGTCAGGTACAGGTCTCCACAGTCCTCTTCTCTCTTCCATTTCTTCCATTTTTTTTTCTTTTTTTTTCTTTTTTTTCTACTTTTTAGCCCCACGACACGTCACACTGGTAACATTAACCACTTGCGCTGGCAACTGATTGCAGACCATAACGAGTGACCAAACCGTATACAACAGTTCGTCGCTTTCTTTTCGAACTCGTCGGTATATTACCAAATAGAAATTGAGAAGTAATAAATTTATTATTTGTTTTGCCTGGGTTATACTTAAATATACCTAAAATACCGAGGAGATGTTGCAATTTTGGGACAAAAAATTCGCGACGTGCGTGACACGTCATTCCATTTGCGCTGGCAACTGATTGCGGACCATAACGAGAGACCAAACCGTATACAACAATTCGTCGCTTTCTTTTCCAACTTGTCGGTATGATATCATTAGATAGAAATTACTGAGAAGTAATAAATTTATTTTACCTGGGTTATACTTAAATATATTTAAAACTGAGAAAATATAGCAATTTTTTTGATGAAAAATTATCGACGTGCGTGACACGTCATTCCAGCGCAAGAGGTTAACAACTTGCGCTGGCAACTGATTGCGGACCATAACGAGTGACCAAACCGTATACAATAATTTGTCGCTTTATTTTCGAACTGGATAGAAATTATTGAGAAGTAATAAATTTATTATTTGTTTTGCTTGGGTTGTACTTGAATATACTTAAAACCGAGGAAATATTGCAATTTTGGCACAAAAAATTCGCGACATGCGTGGGCACGTCATTCCAGCGTAAGAGGTTAACATCCATGAATTTGGAAACAACGCTGCCATTTACTTTACGTGAATGCATGCACTGACACTACTAGCGGGACAGAGAGGAACATTTCGCGCGATCGATACTAGCCGAGTTACTCTAACTCCAGCTAACGGCCAACAACAGCAAAGTCCTATCGCTGCTGATCGTTTGTTGAAATTGAATTGTATCTATTTGTATCACGACAAACGTAAGATCGTAACAACGTACGTGAAATCTTTTCTATCCCGATTATAATTGTTGTTCGTGCTTGTTCACGTTGTTTCAATCAGCCTACATATCGGTGTACGTATCCACCGTAACGTTAACGCTTTTGAAATTTTTTTGTTAGTCAAGCAGTTACCTATCGATCTTGCTCGAGTATTCTTGACCCTCGATTGCACCCTCGATACACTCCCGTTAAACCGACTCATTGTGCGCGTGTACGTCCAACACAAACAAACTGTCGAAGTTTATCATTAATTTACAAAGCGGATCGATCACCAATTTTCCTTCCAGATTCTAATTACTCGACTCAACTTCCATCGATTCATTGTATTCATTCCGGTCACTTTCAGTATAGTTCAGTATAGTTGTATAGTTCAGATTATAATCCTAGCTTAACCTGTATCAATTCATTGGATCGCTTTCATTGTATCGAAACGATCGCTAGACAATACGTACTTACAATGGTTACGTACATGTATAATATATTATAACGACGTTTCGTTCGGTTATATCTATTTCGAGTAGTCCTGTGCAAGTTATGATTTCTTGTTGAATTTCCGTTCGATGACAACGGAAACGAACGATTGTGATGCAATTGATCGTCATCACGGTTACACGCAAAATATCCGATGTCGAGGGAAGCGAATGCCAATTGTACAACAACGCAGGTGAATGAATTGAAAAAATTTCGAGAAAGACGTTTTACTCGTAAAATATATATCGACATTACTACAGTACAGTCATCTCATTGGATGAAACCTTTGTATTTGTAGAGAGAAATGGCTGCTTGCTAATAACGATAATCCAGTTTGTAGTGATTGGTGCGTGCATCTAGCTTGTTATTGCTATCACTCGAGGAATCGTTCATCGAGGCAAGAAACAATTCACAGGCGGAATTGTAACTTTCCAAATAAATTGGAAGATCGTATCGTCGACTGGTAATGCATTCTACTTTCTTTTCCTTTTTTTTTTTTTTTTTTTTTTTTTTTTTTTTGATTTATTCTTCACACACTCGATTCTGATTCATTAACTGTTGATTATTCAGCGATTACGTGGCGGTGTAAAAATTTTTTACGAGAAGGAGAATCAGTCTCTCGTCGAATCGATGACCAAAATATTTGGGTACACTCCGAACATTCAGTGTTCGAGCAGAAATTGTGTGTCGTCTGGAATACAACACGTTCTCTTCGTCGCCGTTGGAATTCAAATGAAGAGATGAAATTAATTCGCTGTATGTTTGAAACTAGGAATGGAAGGCATAACTACACGGCGTTGGATCACGGGCCGTCCGTTTGCGAAAATGTTGGCGAGTACATGGAAATGGAAAAAAGATCGAGGGACCGTGCCTTATCAATCTGTCAGGCCTATATTCGTAGAACACCGCGCTACAGTCTCGTCAAGCAGCTGAACAATCTCGGTAAATTCTCTCATTGTCTCTGTCTTGATTGGCCTTTCTCTTTTCTTTTTTCTTTCTTTTTCCTTACAAATTAACAAGCGTATCCCGCGTATCTGAAATAAATTAATTTGCAATTCTCCTTATTGGCGTCAGGTTCTAGAATGGACAAACACTGGTTCGTGGTGAGGGATACCTCTTTAAAAACCGATCGACTGATCACGCTGGCTCCGTTGAATAGAAACTGCTCGCTGAGCATAACTCCACTGACAAAGAACATTCTGAACGACTTGTTCTTAGCCTTGCAACATCCGTATATATTCCCTATATTCGATATCGACTTCCTCGAATTCGAAAGTCAAAACTACGTGGTCGTAGTTCAACCGATTAGTCAAGGTAGCTTGAAGGATTTGATATACGGGGTAAGTATCGTGATACGTACATACAGGGTGAGTCTCGTAACGTGACTACATCAAATAACTCATAAAATATTTGTTCTACGAAAAAATGTTTCAGATAGAAGTTGCATGGCTTCCAGAGGGACATATAGTACTATAATCAGTTTTATATTATTTTGCTTTTTTGTCAGGGTATGAAGGTATGAATTTTTTAAATGAAATAGTTAATATTTCTTCCCGAATTCGGATAAAGCGTTGAATTCTACATAAAAAAAGTATTACACCAAATAGGGTCTGAAATACATATATACTGAGATATTAGCAAAAATATTTTTTTACATTGTATTAGAAAAGACCGTTAATCTCAGTAACTATGTATTTTAGATCCTATTTGGTGTAATACTTTTTTATGTAAAATTGAACGCTTTATCCGAATTCGAGAAGAAATATTAACTATTCCATTTAAAAAATTGAAGGTGACCTTCACATTCTTGATAAAAAGGCAAAATAACATAAAACTGATTACAGTACTATATGTTCTGCTGGAAGCCATGCAACTTCTATCTGAAACATTTTTTCGTATAACAAATGTTTTATGAGTTATTTGATGTAGTCACGTTACCAGACTCATTCTGTATGTACAGCGAAGAACAATTGTACCGATAATTGTAATAGTTATGAGAAATTGCAAATCATTTAAACTGATATAACTTTGTAAAATGGTAATTCACTTGATCTCATTTTAAAGCGCAAAGCTTCTATTTTGATAGTCGGAAGTTGGTTTTTTGTGAAGATGATTTTACACCGCGTAGCGAGTAGAAAACTGAGGACACATTTTTCTCGAAAATTGTAAAGATCCACCATCATTTTGAAGATTGAAATTTCTTCTTCACGATGACCCCTTAAACTTGTCCCATAATTTTTTTCTTTACTGTTTTATCGAAATAAATATTAAGATTGAACGACAGAAAACCCCAAAGTTTTGATAGTGAACAAAAATTTTAAGAGATCATTGTAAAGAAAAAAACTTCAATCTTCAAAACCATGATAGATCATGATAGTCGAAAGAAAAATTTTTTAACGTTTTTACACGCGTTTGAATTGTCGAGGAAAATGTCAGAGCTCCATATTTTAAAATGAGACCAACTGGAGCTGTGATCTCTTTTCACAAAATTGTATCGACAGTTTTTCATTGTCACTGGTACAGTTATGCTCTTCGCTGTGTACATGTCGTATAACTGACGACAAACAGAACGAAACGCAAAAGATTGAGCCAGATGAGAGACAAAACTTATACGCAGACACTTTGTATTCTTTTCTTCTGGCCAGATCGAAAGGACAGGTTGGAACGAGGACTGGAATCAGAAATATGGTTCACGCGGCAAGGGGCTTCCTTTGCCTCAGGTTCAACAAATGGGGCGTCAAGTGCTGGAAGCGTTGATTTTTTTGAAAGAAAGGGGATTTCCAACGGTAATCCACCTGCATTCGGGGAACGTGCTCGTTCAAAACGGTGTCGCGCGTCTCGCTGGCCTAGAAAACACGCTCCTCGGTTTCACCAGTCGTATACATCCGTTGATCGCTTCTCGGATCTCGCAGACCATCTCCATCGACATGATATGCTTCGGTAAGATTGATCCCAACTACCCTTCAAGTCATCATTTTACCTTCCGACGATCACGATCGTATTTCTCACTTTTCTTTTCAGGTCATATGTTGTTTGAGATGTGCGCCGGTTACGAATTACCATCGTTCAAACCGAATTCCATGCATCTGTCGGACATTGAGATATATCCACAAGTATATATACATCATGCTCTTTCTTTTCCTTTTCTTCATTCTTGCTTTCTCTCTGTCTCCATTTCTATCTTGCCCCGTTTCTTTCCATTAAAAATATTAGCGCCAAATATCAGCTTCATCTCAACGATGTTATACATGGACTGTTCCAAAAGTATCCGACCTCTGCATATAACTTTGTCCTTGAGTATCCAATTGTAAAAAGCAGACATGGAGCACTTAGGAGGATCCTTTAGAAGTACTCTTACCGATTAGCAGAAGCCTAAAACTGTTCAGTCGACAGCAACACGCAGTTTTGTGAACGTCAAATTCCTCGAGCGTCGCATTACACAATGATGGAGCGAGTCGAGCAAAGAATTTGCATCAAGTTTTGCCAAAAAGTGTTGCCAACACCTGTTCGAAGACAATTCGTATGATTCGAAAAGTTTTTAGGGAGATGACTCCATGAGTGATCCACGCAGATAAAGGAGTGGTTTAAACGCTTTAAAGACGGTCATGTCTCAGTGGACAGTGATCCTTGTTCCGGCAGGCCTTCAACGTCGAGAGGACGGCGGAAAACGTGGAACGTGTGTTGGATGACCAACCCGGACAATATTGAATCTGTGCAAACACTGACAATGAGTTAGTAACAGTCCACATAAAAGTGGACTGTGAATAGTTAGTCATAAGGACAAGATCCAGTACTTGGTCATCTATGCTCTTTCCCTTTCCACTTGACGATGATAACCAAATACATAGTTAGTCATAAGGACACGCTTAGAAGAAGCAGAGAGCATTCTATAGCATTCCAAGCATTCTAAATCATTCTAAAGCAATTCTATAAGCATATTCTATAAGAGCATTCTAAATCATTCTAAATCATTGTAAAGCATTCTATTCTATTCTATTTTATACACAATTGCAACAAGGAATGAACTCTTCAAAATTATAAGCGTGTTAATTCCAATCCAACACGTGTTCAAGCCACGATCAATGAAAATAAATAAAGGATATTATTTAGAAGTGCTGAAGCGATTGAGTGACGCAGTACGGAGGACACGGCCGCATCTTTGGGAAAGTGACAATGGGTCGCTGCACCATGACAACGCTCCTGCTCATTCCGCTCACATTGTTTCAAGATTTCTTAGTAAAACGCGGCATTCTTCAGCTTCGGCAGCCCCCGTACAGTTCGGATCTAGCACCTCTGTGATTTTTTATTCTTCCCAAAACTGAAAAAAAACCGTTGAAAGGCCTGAAGATTCGACGACGTCGAAGCAATAAAACAAAATGCGACGCAGCAGCTAGTTGCTAGCCGTGAAAGAAAAGAACTTTCAGGACTGCTTCGAGAAGATGGATCGACCGCTGGAAGAATGTTATAGAGTCGGAAGGGAACAACTTTGAAGGTGAGGTCGTGGAAATTACCCACAGGATGTGTATGTTTTAAAGTACAAGCAGAGATCGGATACTTTTGGGACAGACCTTACAGCGATCTAGTAATTCACAAAACGTTTCAAATCTGATCCTCTGTTCCTTCGTATGTTATTCTCAACAATACTTCACGAAAAGAAACAAAGATCTGTAGCCGATGGAAATGTTTGTACACAGGTCGTCGAGTTACTCAAGTTCATATTTACTGAAACGCCTAATCGTCACAAGATTGTAGAGGAGCTTCTTGTTCACGATCTATTTAGAAACATTGATCTTCGTGAAATGCGGAGTGCCTCCGTCACGGTACGTACATATATTTCCAATAATGTGGGTACAATCTATCCCTGTCGTTTCATTATCTGTCGCTTTCCCTTACAGATATTTCGTCCAACACTAACGCCGCCCATAGTGAACTTGCTTAATGGTATTAAACGACAGAATGCCAATAAGAGGTAACGTGATCATTCTGACACAACGCTTGCAATAAAATTTGCTCTCGCGTCCGTTTTTATATTTTGCTAAAGATTCGTTTTGCATGCACAAACAGGCAGAGGTCGCGCTCTATTAGCGACGTGTATATGACACGCAGATTTTGGTAATGACACGAAGGATCCTGATTAATTGACCCAATCCTTTGAAAACTTTCACACTGGAATTCTAACTCTTGCCTCCTTCACGTTACAGAGCCACGCAGTTGGATACCGTCGACATCGATGCGTCGTCTGTTCATAGGTCACACACCGTTTGCAAGAATTCCTTACTCGACGAGATATACAACGAGCTTTCAAACACGGCCGTATAATTGTGGGAACAAAGTTTACTTCATCGTGATTTTATCTTTAATATATTCGTATGTTTCTCTACAGAGTGCCAAAAAAAAAAAAAGAAAAAAAAAAGAAAAAAAAAAGAATTATTCCGATCTCCATTCCTAGTTACAGTTATTGAAATGTAAAAATATGAAGAGCGAGGATGTGTACAAAGAAAAAGAAAGAAGTTAGAAACGAAAAAGAAGAGATACTATGGAAAGAGTAATGAAAAGCGAGAAAGTGAAAGAAAGAAAGAAAGAAAGAAAAGAAAAAAAAATATATAAAAGTTACACAAGAACAATGCATTTTATTATTTAAAATATTAAAAAAAAAAAAAAAAAAAACACCCAAAATATTTACGCATATGCGAAAAAAGTATCAAACGTGATAAAATGTCACTCCGCAAGGATTACTAAATTCTAGTCACGCTGCCTCACATATCTTCATCATTCATTTTTTTCATCGATTTTTCATTTCGTTCTATGTCGATGAACAGTAATGTAGGAGATGAAAATGAGCTGTGTAAAAAGAAATTAACGTAGAATATATATCGAACACACGCATCTTATATAATTACCTTTAATTTTTTTGTTCTTATCAAAACTAAAATAAAATAACATCTCAGCGCTTCAGTTATTAAATATTTAGTAAGAATGAAATGCTAACATAAACACGCCCCTATCTTCGCGTAACAGTGTCCTGCGATTTTTATTCAGCAAAATTGAAGTATGACGCGTTCAAAGAGAAGAAATTATTATTATTATTATTAGTATTCGTCGGAAATCATTTTACACTTTACTCTATTGCGTAATGCACATATAATTTTATATATAAACGTAAAAAAATTGCAACACATCACAGAATCTGTAGAGGTGAAATGATTTTTCTAGAAATTTATACATAATGTGTATCGCAATGTTACAATCAATGAAATACAATTGTCAATTTATTTCTAAGAAAGTTGGCATGCCACGCTTGTTCTTGATCAATCGTAGAAGTGTGTGTGTGTAATTGATGTACGTGTTTGTAAGCGGACGTAAGATCGGTAGTAAAAATAGGTATTATTGCTTTTCGATGATTCTTTTTCGTTTAAACGTACAAATTCACTTTAATGTCTTTTTCTCAACCCTAATTGGGATCATTGGTTTCACGTGAGGACACACACATCCACACATATACACACAGATATATATAAATATATATGTATATATGATATCAAACCACACCACATATATATATATATATGTGGTTTAATATGGTATATGGTATATATACATATATATGTGTGTACGTACGCGAACACGTTGGAAAATTTCAATATCAAATAATTTAATCGGTTATTTTTCTTACATATTTTATGAAGCACCAGCTTCCAATTCACTCGCTGGTGTGTCTGGTTCTTCATCATTGTAAATATTCTCCGCCATCTGCCATACCTGCATTATATTGTCTTCCGAAACAGAACATATAACCCACGGTTCGTTCGGATTCCACGAAAAATCACTGATCTTCGCGGTATGACCACCATGAATGAACTACAAAAGATACAAAAGATGCATCTGTAATATCTTTTCCGCTCGATTTCGACTAAAAGGGGGTAGCCAAAGGAAAAAAAGAGAAACGTATTATATACCAGTAATTCGGGTGGTCCATCTTCGGCATCTTCGCTGGATTGTTCCTCGCCAATTTTACTAAGATCCCAGACGTGTAGACGCCTGTCTGTACCACTACTAGCTAATATCGTCTCGTTATGCGGCGACCACTGGACTTGAAAGATCTCGTCTTTGTGAGACTCGAAAGAATGCAATTTCAACTTAAGATTCCTCAAGTCCCAAAGTGCCACCGTTTTGTCGGCGCTACCAGTCGCAAGGATAAATTCCGAGTACGGATTGAAACTTAAGCAATTCACTTCAGCAGTGTGAGCATCCACCGTGTGACTCGGTTTACTAGTATTGTTACATCTGACAATCACAAAAACACGACAAGTTTAATTAAACGTTAACGGTAGCTTAATGTTTATTTTCGACATCTTTATCGACAGTGTAAGTAACTACCTTGTGTCCCAAATCATCAATTTCTGATCATCCGCGACGGATCCAAACAATGATTCGTGCAACAGATGCCAAGCTACATCTTCAACGACAGCAGTATGTCCGGTGAAGATTGTTTTTGCATCAATCACACGATTTTCCTTAGGAGGTGCATTAATGTCCCACAAACAAATTGTATGATCATCAGACGCACTGAGCAAGTATCCATTCAAGTTTGGATTCCATGATAGGCCATAACCTTCCTTCTGATGACCCCTTAATCTGATACCAAAGACAAACTACTATTATACATGTTCTCTACAAGAATTCTAACGTCACAAATGTACTCACCTCAAATCAGGCTGGCATTCGCCATTAGGATCCGGTTTACTTGGGTGTTTCGTATAATCAAAGACAAGAACGTCACTCGACGGTGTTTTCGTTGCGATTACGCATGGATTTTGCGGCATGTACCGCGCTCTGTTCACCTCTCCCTCATGATTTATTTTGATTTCGATTTCTATCTTACCACTAACAGAACCGAATCCTCCAAACTCCCCCTTCTCATTGTCGTAATGAGAAGCATCGAATTGAGCATCTTCGTTCGGCAACTGCACGCTAGCTATAAGCAAATGATTTTGTTCGTCTGAAGTGTGAGTGCCCAAGATAAGACGATGCACCGAATAGTCCTTTCCCTCAGGCCTAGTCACGTCCGGTAACCATTGAGCAGTTAAAGATGGCCATTCCAAAGCATGTGTCATCACAAGGTCATACAAGAATGGGGTGTTTTTCTTCCATATCTTGTACTCTTCGTTAATAACTCGTTCCTCCACAGCATCATCAAAAGTTTCTGCAATTAAACAATCTTGGCATTAAGACGATCAAGGTATTTAACAAACATTGAAATGTTAAATATGTATTAAATACGCATGTACAGATAAACGTACAATCATAAAATGAGAAACTGAAAATATAAAGAAAAAACGGCAAGGACGAGATTTAACGTAGAAGCGTCGTAAATCAATCGATCGTAATGACTGGTACAGTCAGGAAAAAATCAATATTTTAACTAATGAAAATCGCATGTTTCTTGCAACGATATAACCTATTCAAGTACAATGCCGTTTACGCACGCTTTGTTTACGATGCGAAAATACTTCGCGCCTTAAAACGAAGAATAAGACGAGATACGAACGGTGAGCGAGGCTGATTTCGAAACTTCAGTTTAATTTTTCACAGAAATTTCCGAAAAGGAAATCCCGCGAAAGACACATTATCGGTTGTTTATCACATTACGGAAAGCGTCCTTCGAAACAGCCAGCGAGCCGATCGTCCCGAGTAACGAAATAATCGGTGAAATGATAATAGAAACGAAAAGCTATCGGCTTTCCTCTTACCACCGTCTTTGTCGCCCATTATCAAATTTCGCTAAAACACTGAAATCAGCACGATACGTTTAACCCGCCAAAAGCTACGAAGCCTAACTAGACTTTGTTAAAAATGCAGGCGTACTTGCTAGAAAGCCTTAAACATACGCCGCGTTTCCATTAGACGACAAACATTGCACGGTTTGTAATGCCGTGCGATACAGCACTCCAATCGGAATGCTCAACTGAAACGTAAACAAAATCCCATTTGTTTGACAGAACTTTGTTTCAAATTTAATCTGACGTAAATGGATGGAATGAAATTGAATAAAATTGTGAATTTGTATTGGTTGGCGGCATTGTCGACTTTCCAACCGATTTTCTGTCGGTAAAATAGAACTTCAAAAAGCACAGACTCAAACGAGGTATATAAAAAGTCTGTCAGTATCGTGTCAGAAGATAATTGTTGATTCATAACGAGGTTACAAAAGATCGTCAATATTTGAAACGAATGTTGGAAACCGTGCTATTCGAACGTTTTCTTCTCTGTAATTTCTCAACAGACCGACAACTCAATTCCCTTCTGCAAAAAGGAAAACTGTGATCTCTATCATTTTCCATTTGTTTATCGATTATTGATGCCGGACACAAATTCTGCTGATGTTGTGTGACCAATTTATTATGCATTATTACAGATGTGTGTTAAATTAGGAAGAATAGTAAATTTTAATTAATTAATTGGAATACAGTAAGAACGATGGAAGATATTAATGCCAAGAGAAACGCCAGAAGGAAGAGAATTTTAGAAAACTCTGAGAAACGTCTCTCAAAAATTACTGGCAGAAACGAGGATAACGAATCGGAAGGTAAATACAATTTGTTAATTTTCCCTCACTTGTGAAAAGATGTCATTCTTTGTTTTACTTTGTTAATAAAATTCCTAATGCATTTCTATTGTTACCTCATTCTAGCCAAGAGTGTACATTTAGATTCATCCAGCGAAATATACAGTGCTGAAGATACGGAACATGAACCTTTACACTTGAGTGTAAATAACAAAATATCGCAAGGTGACAGTATACTTTTGACATTCAATTTTTATGAAATACTACGAGTAGTTCATTAACTTGAACATTAATATTAAAGGTATCAATGGCAGTTCGAATTGGAACCATGGAACAAAAAGTTCGTCACTCTTGTTACTGATAAATCCTGTAAATTATATATTATTAGCATTTATCGTCAATATACTGCTCTTATTACAAATGGACCATCTATTTGCAAAGGTAAAGGTATAAGATATTTGCATAAAAAACTGAAATTATTGCAGTCTTGTTGCACGAATACGTATTCGATTAAATGTTACAGAAAATCGCGATACCGTACTTTCCAATAATGTTGGGTCGCCTGTACAACTACAAAAATACAAAAGAAATGCAAGAGAATAATAATCTGCTGTATGCTGCCTTGATTCTGTGCAATATCAAGCCCGAGTTGACTTATCAATTGAAAAAATTAATAACAATAAGTCATATGATAGTCGGAGATGTAGCCTTATATATTTTCAGTTTCACGCTAATATATTATGGATTCTTTAATTGTTTGTATGATACGGATAGTCCTGGTACCTTAACTGTATAAGATATATAAAATATAATTAAATAAATTATTCGGTCATTTCGTTCAATTTTTACGAAGAAAGAGTAAAAAAGATATACATACTACGTCAATTAAAAAACTTTACACAATGCATAATAATATCAATACCAAAGCAGTAAAATTAAATTAAAAACTGCGAACATTTATGCATTTTGTTTATTAATATTACAAACCTTTAGTCTTATTATCAAATCTCTTGCTATACAAATATAGATGTAATGAATTGTTTATACGGTAATTATTAACATAGATTATAATTACGTATAAATTACAAAATTTTTCTCATTAGGAAAATGAATTCAAACTAAAATAAATAAAATGAATGAAACAGTTGATATAAGTTTTATAGAAAACACACGGTATAAATAAGTACTGAAAGAAGAAAATTTTGTTCTTTAAATGGCAAATGATATTTTCAAAGACATATAAAATAAAAATATTAATATTCGTCTAAAATTCTATTGTATTTTTTAGATTTATTTTAATAACTTAAACAAGCTCGTGCAAAATCGTTAATTTATCTTTAAGTTCATAAATGTTCTACCAAGTGTAGTTTTCCAAATGATTCACTAACTGAATAAAAATGATCGATATCAATAAAATAGAGTGGGGTAATTTTAATTTTTATTGTTGTTCCTCACAGTTAGCATTCTTATATTTCAATAAAGTTTTACTTCTTACAATATCAGAATTACCGGAACGTATCATTTCCATCTCCCATTTTTCTAAATCTTTGTGATATTGTGCCTTAAGTTGCATAGCTTCTGTGAAATATGGTTCCTTTTCTTTATCCGGCAATTTGTTCCAGTTCTCAGTCATTGATTTTATCCAATCCTGACGAAGAAATTCATGAAACAATTGGTAATATTGTGGTTTCTTAAACAACCTATTAAACAAAGCAACTCTGTTCAGAAAAATCAGTACCTTAACATGCATATCTGGATCTTTATCTTTCCTCTTTGACGATAAGTAAGACAAATATGCATTTATTGGTCTCTTTGGCCTCCCAAGTATTTCATATTTCTGCAATCAGGTTTAACCTTTAGATCAATCGATAAAAGATAAATGTCTTGATTTGATCCATCTGTGTAATTACCTTTTTGCTATTTACTTGTTCATATTCTTTCTTCTTTTGTTCCCACAATTGCTTTTGTTCCTCAGTAAGAGAGTTTTTATATTCTCTCAATTTTTCCATATATATTTTGTAACTTTTGTTGTACTCATTTACAAAATTCTCCTTTTCAGCGACATCCAGTTTTGACCACTCGCTGGCTGCTCTCTGTAATATCTCAGTATACTTGATACCAGGCGATTCCTCAGCAAACCTTGGTTTAACTTGTCTTATGTACATAAGAAAAGGGGGTACTGGCTTTTTTGGTCTCAGTGGAAAAATTGTTTCTTTCAAACGTTTCAACATATGTTTTGAGATATTTTGGTGAAAGCTTAGCAAGTGACTTCTAAAATAGTGAATAGCAAAAAAAGAAACATTGTTACATGGTTAAGACAAAAATTTCTGTAAAAGCAAGTGTATTTTTTTTTGTCAGTATTTTTTTTACGTGTAGTTACGGAAATCGAACAATGTTAACAAGAAATTAATTTACACGCATGAGATAACCTTCGTTCGCAGATTATTTTAAAATCGTTTGTGAGATTTTGTTCATCATAATTGTTTATTTAACTAAGCTCTACTTTACCTTGCGCACAATAATCCTTCTGAGCGCACAAAAAATAAAAATCTTCCAGAATACATCATTTTCCAGATAATAATTTTAACTATTGCATACTTTTGTACTCCTAATACGGCTCCCTCTTCAGCGGATAAACATGCAAACTACGTGAAAAAATGAAACCACAAGGATGGGAACATGTTTGAACATGATTTGAATTCCAATTCGCGATTTCCAGTATTAACTCATACTATTTATTCATAAACATAGTTGATTCCTATTTACGAATTCGGATATTACCAACCGCAGAACTGGTAAACCATTTAAGAGGCTGCTATAAAAATATACTTTTACGAGGTTATTAAAATTATTATATGCTTTTTTATTGATATTGCGTTGTTGTTATTTAACCAATATTGTTGCACTTTCATTTAATATTAAATGTAAAACGCTTGGCTTTAGATGGAACAAAATGAAAAAACATTTTCGTAAGATTGTATAACAGAAATTGATACACTGCCGAAGGATTATGATTTTTCATTTCTGATAATTAATGTGGGATTGTTTTTTATTAACATTAAGAGTCATAAAAGCAATGAACTGACAGCGATTATAAAGCTTGTAGAAAAGAACATACAGTTAGTTTAGTGCTTTTGAAAATCGGGATTACCAAGTGAAGGTGACATTATCAAGCTATTAAACTTGCTACGAATGTTCAATTAAAATGAATTTATTGATATTCGCGTTAATTATTTGTGTGTATTCGAAATAGCTAATACCGTGCCTCCGTAGAAGATGGGAAGAACCATCTTTCTCTTCACATAAACAAAGAGATGCTACATTCGACAAAAAGCAAATTATTTAAATGTACATTAATAATAAGTCAAATTTAAGATACCTTAATAATCTTTCAAATATATTGAAATTCGAGAAATATGCATTAATACATTATAGAATTTTTTTTTCTTTTAAATAATTATATAAGTACATTGTGTAATATATACATTTTACTTTGCGTCATTATATTATTTTCAATTTGTAACAGCATTTTAATGTAGAGTGTCACAAATTGTTAAATCATCTGCATTAAAGTTTAATGTTGCCTGAAAAATCCAGAAATAATGGAAAGTAACTTCTGCTTTTTAACAAAATTATTTTTTACATTTGTCACAACGAATTTTTCTTTTCATTTTCACTATATTGTACATACGTGCTATTTTATACTATTTTATTCAATTTCAACCTAAAAATTTATAAATATATTGTTTCCCTCGTTGATAAAAAGACATAAGAAAAGATATATATTTTTTCGTACATTGTGTATGCATCTCTCTTCGTTTCTTTCCTTCTGTTTTATGAAGTCAATACTTAGAAACAATAAGTTGTACATAATTTTAACAAAATAAATTGAAAGACTTTCGCGAAGTGTGTACCTTTAAACTTGTGTAGTCAATACGTTAACGTATGATACGGTTTATATACGGTACTGTTATTAATTATTTTATCATGGAGTATCAATCCTGACATAAACTGACACAAACTGAACGTACGTTTGAATAAACTGAGAAGAAAGAAAAAGAATATTTCTTTGTTTTTTTCCTTTTTTTCTCCTTTTTTTGTTTCTTAAACTCCACCGCGCAATAGTTACTACCAGTGTAAATTCATTTTCTATTATGCGCGCAACAATTAATGTAAGTAATTAACATCTATGCGTTTTTTTTTTTTTTTTTTTTTTTTTTTTTTTTTATATATAGCGCGTTTCATAACGCTTTGGACGTATGTGTTGTTCGTTTTATACAACGAACACCTAAACGTCTACGAAACTTTTCACTAATTTTTGTTCCGTGACAAATTTAACAGTTTCGTCAAACGATCGATGGAATTTATTATGATACATTTTGTCTATATCCCCTTGGTTAGTTGAATCCAAAATTTGGATATATTTTGCTTTCAATATTCAATGTTTCGACATAATCTTATATTGCTTTCCTTCAGGTACCTCCCTCGCGTAATGATTTCTGCTGTTCCAAAAGCCGTTCCAAGGGAGACGGTCCAGGCCCGAACCACAAAGACTGTTGATTAAGACGAGTTTTCGTTTGATCTTGATTCGACACGTTGCAACTCTGTGCATTAGATCCCCATGCATTGCTACTACTGAACAGAGAATAGGTGTTTCCTGTGCTGATCGATTGATTTGATTTGATGTCTACCTGTAAAAACACGAGTAGGATAATTTTTACAATAGCTTGCGTACTATTATGTTTACTTATTTGCTTACAAAATTAGAACACAATAGATACCTCTAAAGGCCTAGGACTTTCGAAGTTACTTCCACTGCTAAATTGCTTGGTGTGCTGAGAATCCGATGGATAATTATTCGAAGTTCTCAATGGGATTTGCGATACTACGTTTCCAGAATTAGAAGAATCTTCCCAATTGCGGTAGTTTTCCGCGACAGGCGTGTCTTCATTGTGTAACTGCATGCCTCTACCGGCCGAACCCCAGCAAGGTACAGAAAGTTGCGAGTGCTGAGTATCCTTCCACAAGTTGAAATTCGTGGGCTCGTAGTTTTGAAAAGGCGGGTAACTAGTTGCAGGCTGCGACTGATTTTTCGACATTCCCAAGTGATTGGGCAACGAGAATTCCAAAACGTCCGAGTTCTTGTTGTACGCCGACGAGGGGAGTTGTTTCTGCGATACTTGACCGAAGGCATTTTGATTGAATTCATTCTGATTGAAGTTATATTGAAAATTCGACGTAGTTGTGGGATTCAGCGAGTTGCCCGGCACGCTTGACGCGCTCGGTATCATAGGAGCAACTTGATGAAGTTTCTTCTGATATGTATTCAACGTTGATAAAGTAGAAACATTTGCAATAGTTGGATTGGTCAAAGTACCTTGATTATGTAAAGACATTGTGTTGGATCTAAGATTAGACTTCGCGACATTTTGCTGCATAGTCAAGCTGTGATTCTGCTGAGCACTCAAATTACGATTTTGCTGCAAACCAATATTTCTATTTTGTTGAGAGTTGATGTTCTGCGAGGCATTTGGCATAACATTATTTGGTTGAGCTGAAGCCAGCAATCCAAGATTTTGATGTAGCAACGTATTTTGGAGTACGTTGTGGGTTTGTGGTCTCTGGTGCATGGATCTACTCTGATTGGTTGTATGTTGTAAACTTATGCTCTGCGGCTGCATCGGTTGCTGTGTCGAACTAGCAAAACGTCCTTGAACCGGGTAATTCGATAGGTTTCCAATATGATTGGTGACGTAGTTCTTCGTGAATTGCGGATTCTGTACGTTGAACGTTGGGTTTTGATAACAAATAGCTCCTACGCACTGAGACATTCCAGTTGGAATCGGAGTTGGAATCGGAGTTGGAATCCCGGACGCTTGTTGCTCTTTCGCAGGGAAATGATTAATCTGGGTGGGTTGCGACGGTGAAACAACATGCTGTGATTTCGCGGGTTTCACTTGACTTTGGGTGGAAACGATTTGACTTTGCATAGCAATTGTGGCAGAAGGCATTAACGGCAATCGGTTTTGAACGGTGACTTGCGTACCCAAAGTGGCGCTTGGAGCACCGCTCAACTTCGACATTTCTCCAGCAACTGATAAGTTTTTATTCCCATTTGTAGGAGCACCTTTTATCGGACTCACCGACGTTCCACTCGCTTTAACTTTTTTCTCATTCTCCTCTTCCACGTTCAACGGAGACAAATTCTTGAACGTCACCTGCTTCTGCTCGGTTTCAGCACGTCGCATTATCGTTTGCATCGCTATGTTCTGCCTTGGTTTCCTTGTTGCTGGTTGCACGTTCGTCTCGAAAGCGCCGGATTCCGCGGCAGTGATCGAGGCCGTGTCTTTACTTCGCTCCAACGAGCCTTGAGGCTTCAAGATGCCTATCCTCTTGTCAAAGCCGTGATCCAACATATCGACGTCCGTGGAACCTTTGCTGCTGGCTGATTCTGAGAGAACCGGGCTAGTAGACACAGCCGACTGTCTTTCTTTGTTTAAACTCAGCTCTTCCAATTCTTTCATCAATTCGTTACTCAATCCATTCCCTTCGCTTATGGAACTGAACCTGTTGTCACCCTTCTCTCCTCCCAACGTAATGGCAATTAACGCGGTACCATTGATTTTGTATTGCGCCAAGCAATGGCCCAAACGAAGAATACGAACTGCGCGTAATTTGTTAGAAGCCTCGATATTATCCTCTAAATCGGTGCTCGTAAATTTCAACGATTCGAAGCTTTTCTCCAGCGGCAGGAATCCTTGTAGATCACGATCCTCTGGCAGTGGTACCTTAACGTATTGATCATACGAGAAATCAGCCACGCAATTTTGCAAGGCGTTCAACAATACGCACAAGCTGGGCCAGATTTGGAGTCTCGACGTAAAAGCCAGTTCTTCCAGAACTGTCGGTTTCGTATGGATCCAATCAAGGCACAGTTTTATAGAAGGCAAAGCGAAATACTCGATAATAGAATTTTTGATTGTATAAACAGGTAACAACAAAGCAGATAGGCTTCCAGCTATGAGATCCAAAATACAATCACGAGCGAGCTTTTCGTCAGATGTTAATTGTTCGTGTTTCAGTGGTTCGGCGCTACCCACGACGACATTTGTTGTATGTTCCAAAGCGTACAAATTAATCACAAACATTTGAACGAGCATCCATGAGCTAAAACTTTCCGTGGCAACTAAAGCCGTCAACGTCTCAGTCAATAATTTCGCATACGCCGAAGCAACTTTTAAATCGCCGAGATTGTGAATAACACCGTGAAGTTTCAGAAAAACTGCCACGTATTCTTGAGAAGTTAATTTCGTTTTCCCATCTATATTCAGCGACGTATCGTTCAAAGCGGAGGATAACGTTTTCGCCAGGTTCGTTGTGGCAACGGGGAAAGGATGTTTTACAGCGACAGATCGCGTGTAATAAAACACAGTTGCCAATTTGTTACCACGTGACGCTTCAAGAAGTGCTAACTGATTGTACGGCTGTCCACTGGATGGTGACAATGATACAGCATGCCTGTAGAACAATTCCGCTTGTTTGCTCTCGTTTCTATAACGAGCAATATCCCCTAAATGCACAAGGCAATATTGGCATGCGTAAAAACATGAAGATTTATGAGGCACTGATAATTTTTCAATAGCTTTCCATGGTGATGTACATCCGTAAATGTAGCCCTTCCTAAAAAAAAAAATATGACGAAATAAAATTGAAATTTGTACAGACTGTAGTACAAATAGGAACAGTGTGCAACGTAAATTCAATTTATGTAACATATGCGAAGGATATAAGCATCTTACAATTAATTATCCTTAATTACCTTCTAAATGGCAAATCCAGATCAAATGCGGTACAAATTTCTTGTAATAACGTCAAATAAAAACCACTAGCTGCTTCCAAACACCAGCTAAGTAACGCCTGAGATTCTCCACGTTTAGGATTTTTCCTATCTTTTGCTTGAGATTGTAAAGTTGCTATATAATTTTTAAATCCTAGGTTCCACAGTTCCTGCTCGACTTTCCTGTCTAAAGCATATTCCAAATCCAATATTAGAACTTGTTGATATATTTTCTGCAGCTGTTGCTGGCAAACCCATGCGTCACTATCGTTTAAAAGATCTTGGCAACGTTGTACTTTGTCCTTCAAGGGCTCAGCTTTCCTAACAAAAACAATAATTAACTGACAAACACTGTATAAGTATCGAGAAATAACTTCTTCATCTTTGACTCACTTTAAAGCTTGTACAGCTGCGTTTAGGCCCATATTCTGCGTACCTTGAATTTCTGTACAAAACTGTTTATCTACAGAAACAAATTAAACAAATATGTAGTTACACTTATTATATATATATGAAATGTTAGACCTTGCAACATAGAAATGTAAACCTACAATAAATATATATACATGTACAAATGCACAGACACAATATATGCTACACGCTCAGATTTATTTTTATTTATTTGATATAGGATATATGTGTGTGTGTGTATAGCATATAATGAGAATATATATGTATGCATATACATGTGTATATATATATATATATATATAGATATATAATATGTAATTCATCGAGTATTATTGTACATCACGAAAAATGATAAACTAAAAGATGTTGAGAAACAACTTATACATCGGTTAAACTTATAATCACGTCGATGCATGCAAATGATTGCAAATGAACTTTGATGTCGCAATTTTTGCTCCGAATTGTACAGATGAAATTGCCAAATAGAAGGCGGTGTAAAAAAACATTAAAATCCTGAGAATTCGCCGAGAGACGAAATACCAACACGAACGTTTCGCGTAATGCAATTTACTTGGTTCACGAAAGTCAATATACATGATGCATGCTACGACCTGAGCGAGTTAGGTTAACTGCTAGGCCAACAAAAGTGCGAACGGTAAAGACGTTACGAATAACAGCGAATTAATTTTCAATCTTAGGACCAAACGTTACGCGGAACGAAGACGAGTGAAAAGATCGGCTGGAAAGTAAAAGGGGAACTTACTTTCACATATTTACGTCAAACTTAAATTGCACCGGATTACTGATATGTGGTTCGCTTTAACGAAAAACTGCACCGCCCTCGCGTTAAACATTTATGTTACTTTCAGTTAGAAACACTGAAAATTTCCCATGATTGCAAACCGCAGAAACGTACTATCCGTTCTATACGCCAGAGAATCGTAAATACAAAGCTCACATGTACCGAAGGGAACTTTTCAACATTCGTGTGCCATGGCCCTCTCGGTCTGCGAAATAAAAGATCCTACGGTCACGCAGCGCGAAATGTCAGGTTAGAGAAGCTAGTTTCGTGAAGTAAATCCATCGAGAATGTCAGCGTTCACTTCTATGAAATTGTTCATACGCCTTCGCCGAAGTTACAATGGAGCAAATAAATACCGATCGATTTCATTAGTACGTGCATTTTCTTTTTTTTTCACGTTACCCCGGTATTCTCTACGAGGGTGTTTGATGCCACTACGGCGTTTGTACTGCTCGATCGTGTCAGATACACACTCGAAAATTACTAATCTGTGGTGTATCAATAAAGTAACTCGATAAGGGCATTAACATTTATTACATTTGTCCGGATTTTTCTTTTTCTTTTTTCATTTTGTTAAATATCTTTCGATGATTATCACAATTGATATCTCGCTTCAGACTCCTTTCACCTCCCACGATGAGCAAAAGAAGACAGATATAGAGGCAAAACGGAGGGAATTAATGGCACGTGGCCTTCCGAAATCAAAACCTTTGAAAGGTGTCAAACAAATTGTCGTCATAGCGTCTGGAAAAGGTGGCGTCGGTAAATCTACCACGGCCGTAAATTTATCCATCGCTTTGAAACTTACTGAGCCGCAGAAGTTGGTCGGTTTGCTCGATGCCGACGTATTTGGTCCATCAGTACCATTAATGATGAACATACGACAATCTCCTACAGTGAACGACAGAAATCTTATAGAACCTGTTACAAACTATGGTATCAAATGGTGAGGGAACAATGGTTGCACATTTTCCTTGTTTATTGATATTCTCTAAACTGTGAAAGTTTCCCTTATACACAGCATGTCTATGGGCTTTCTAATTGATGACAAGTCTCCTGTTATTTGGAGAGGATTAATGGTAATGAACGCCATTGAGAAACTGTTGCATCAAGTCGCATGGGATCCGTTAGATTATCTTGTTATAGATACTCCACCTGGAACAGGAGACACACATCTTTCAATCATACAAAATCTTCCGATAGCTGGGGCCTTATTAATAAGTACACCTCAGAAGGCAGCTCTGGAAGTAACTAGAAGAGGAGCTAATATGTTTAAACGTCTGAACATTCCAATTATTGGAATTGTGGAAAACATGAGTAATGTTATATGCCCAAAATGTAACAGTAGCATTCCTCTTTATAATGGTGAAACACAAGTGATTGCTAAAGAACTTGGTATTACATTTATAAGTATATATAAATACATATGCATATATATATCTCATTGTAAGGTTTCAGCTTTTTCTCTCTTCTAGATGTGCAAATTCTACAATCTGTCCCCTTGTCAGAAGATATTGTAAATAGTTGTGATACTGGTAAACCAATTGTGTTATCTGCATCAGAAAGTACTCAAGCTGACGCATACAAATACTTGGCAAAACATGTAATTTCGTTCTTAGCCAAGCAACCACAAAATTTAGAATGACATTTTTAGATATTTTCTTTTGATTATAATTTTTTTGTATGAATATGGATGTTTACAAAACATACGGATATTTTAAAATTAGTGCACTCTGATTCCTCTTATCATTGGCATCATCATCATCATCCCCACTTTTCTTCTTTATATCTTATCCCCTCTCTAAACGCTTGAACGGATATTATACGTTGTACATATGTCTGTTATCTTGAATATAATTTGGTAGCGATAAAAGTAAAAACGCACGTTTATCTAACGTGTAATAAAAAAATTACTCGTATGTATAACACGTAATAGATTTTTGTAATTATTATTAATATTTTACTTACACGTTGGCATTGTTATTAATGCTTTCACTTAGAATAAAACAATTTGTAACGTTTTCTTCAACGTCATTGAAAAAATACTTGCGTAAGAAAATGTTAAAACATAATTCTAATGCTTTTCATCTAAACTGAATATTTAGCCTCTTATTTTATTCTATAAATTTAGAATTCAAGATGAATAATGAAAATTCCACCAGTATTCATTCTGATATAAATGCAGAGATTCATAATATTCCGATGAGCGTGCTTATTCGACCAATTCCTCCAATTGTCGATGAAGAGAAGGTACAAAGCTTAATGGATACGTTGAACAATCCTGAAACAGAATCATTGGTACCGCCAATCGATGTTTTGTGGATTAAAGGGAGCGAAGGTAATAAAAATATACTATCTTGTTTTTCTTTCTTAGTTGCGTTATATATAAAATGTAAACAAACATAACTCAATTCTGCACAATAGTTGTATCTTTCTTTATTTCAGGCGGTGATTATTATTATTCTTTTGGTGGATGTCATCGATATACAGCTCATAAAAGACTTGGGAAACCATTCATAAGAGTGAAATTAGTACAATCTACAATAACAGACTTAAAATCTTATTTAGGTGGTTCTACTCCCAATTTAAAATAGCCATACGTATTGCCGTTTAAATTTAACAAAAGTAGTATTTGTACAAAAAATTAAATGATTTATGTAAGTTTAATATTGATTTTATTTCGAGGCCTTTTATTTCATTCAGTTTGAAAATAAAAGATATATGTAAATCTTCACTACATCCAACCAAATCAAATTTAAATATAAACGCTTGTATGTTAAAGTAGTTCAATTTTTGTGAAACCAGATATGTACACAGTCATCTTACATGAAGGTATGATGATGAAAGGTATTTTTTATAACGATGATTCTGTAATTTTCTCTGTATATATATATATATATAAAATGCACGTTGTTATAGTTTTTATTTATTTTTTATTTATTTTTATTTATTTTTTCTTCCTTTTTAAAACGCATATGAAACTGCAATTTTAAATTCAAATTCAAATATTGTAAATCGAAACTATCAAGTGTGCTTACTTATGTCTGAATTGCTCTTCTCTTTTTGAAAATACAAGATATATTTATTTACTTTTTTTGTAGTGCATTATTTTTTAATACTTATGTAATGTCATTGAAACAAACATTTTTTTTAAATAATTATATATTAGTTATCACTTTTGCTTCTTTTGTGACGTAAATTTCGCATGAGAATCGCTTTTTTTCAAATCTTTTAACAATTCAGTTTTTACCTCTTCTAAGTCAAAGTCTGAAATAAATTTTTGTTTCAATATATACGAGATTGTCTTATTGTAATTTTTACTGTTTTTGTCAACATATATGTCTTTTAAATCTTTTTTGTGAAACATTTTATGTTTAGTTTCCTTGATAAAATATGGTTTGTAATTCTTATTTATGTCCGCCGTCATTGCGTCTGATACATCATTTGGCTGATGTGTACGACTTTCAGATCTATTAGTACTTTTCAAATGATTAGGTATAATTGATTGTTGTAAATGCAATAATTGGGTATTGGTAACTTCGCAATCAATTTGCATCATAGTTATATGATTTGCGGGTGTTGAAAACGTTTCTAAAACAAATATTAAATCCCATGTAGTAAAACAATAATAACTTTTCATTTCATGCCGTTTATGCATACATTAAATGTAAAAATAGATTTACCGTTCATAGGAAGCGCAGGAAGTACCAACGACATCCTTGGTCTGCCTGTGCTATTTTTGCTTGAAGCGGGCAAAAGCAAATGTTCCCCGCTAAACCAAACTACGTAAAAAGTGTCATCTCTTCTCCCTAAAGCTTCGAACAAAGAAGCATGCTCTTTTCTTATTATTGGAGAAAAAACTTCTACCGCGTTCGATATCGATGGCTCAGTTATCTTTCGATGTATTTCGGATTTACTTCTTTCTGATAAGTTACGTTTACGTTTAGCTTTTTGCATTACATGCAAGGGCGACGATAGGAACTTTCCTGTAACACTCGCATCTAATTTTCCTTTTTTCAAATTATCTTGATCGGACTTTCCACCGATCCATCGTCTCAATTCGTAATCTAAACGAATTGATTCACTTTGGTTAATATACATTGGACACATAGGTTGTGGTATCGATATATTTTTACGAAAACTATCTTCATCTTCCTCTCGAATTTGATCTCTAGATGTCCAAAGTAACGTTCTTCCATGTCTTGCGTGTTGCGCGTTAATCGATTCGTCATTAGATAGTATATTCAATTGATTATTTTGCGAAAATATATCCCTAGAAAAAAATGTCAATTTTTTTGAAATATCTTTTCTGAAATTAGATAAACAATCCAAAAAAACAAGTGAATAATAAATTCATTATATGCTTACTTGAAGCCATTAACATTTAAAGATACCATAAAAACCATCCCCAAAAGAATAGCAACATTCTTTTTATTCGTATTGAAGTTCAAGCTTTTAAATTTATTAGTAGCACTTGTATGTTCCAATGATGAAAGCTTCTGTTTTAAGTTTGTATTTTCCTGATATACAAACACAATAATCAGTAAGTACTATATTCAGTAATAAACATATTACACCAACGTATATTTCAATTTCATGTAATTTTTACCATTTTTAATTGCTTATTTTGTTGCTGCAATTCATAAATCTGTTTTTCTAACGAAGATACATACTCCTTTTTTTTCTTTCGCGACAGGCAAGCTGACTCTCTATTCTTTATCATTCTCTGTTGCCTTTTCAGTGCTTTTATTTCACATTCTTGTCGTTCAACAAAATTGACATCTTGCATTTCGTTCTTTATGACAATTGGAGTATAATTTGAAGTCTCTGTTTTAATTATTATCGGTTTACATGCATCCGAATCGCTTTTTACAATTATAGAGGTACATCCAGCTGCTTCATTCTTAAGAACCAGAGGTGGATCCATCATATTAATTGTTTGATCGTTTCCTAATGTATATACGTTAGAGACATTGTCCGTTATTTTCACATTATTCTCTTGTAGTTGTTGAATTGTATTTGTCTCTGTTTTTATTGGTACTGAGGAAGGCTGTATTGATGTTTGAATCTCTTTATTTGTATTAGGTGTAAAATGAGTTGTGAAAGGATATGATATATAATTCTGTCTAATTTTTTGAGTAAGTGCAACAAAATTTTGTGTACTCAAAAATATAGCATTCTTAGGCTGTTCTGGAAAATATTAGACATATCAAAATATAAGATGTAATTTAGAAGTAAATAGTATAAAAATAACACTTAAGACAGACACAGATTACTGTTTTACCATCAGTGACAAGTTGAATATTATCTTTTGGTTGAACTCGAACACGTTTGGCAGAATTTATTTTGGAAAGGGTGAATTTTGTTTCTTTCGTATCTTGAAGTTTAAAAGGCTCAAGTTTTATATGTTTCGCAATGGCTATGTTTGAAATTGATTGTGGAGATATAGGTGAGGAAACATTTTGTGGAGGAGAGATGGGTGGTGTTTCTAGAGTTGTCTACAACAAATCAGGTAAAATATGTAAATGTTGAATTCATGGTAATTGACCATAACAACGATGCATTATAACCATACCTTAAAATTGCAGGTGGACACATTAGAACTTGTTTCAACTTGTGAATCTGGTCTATAACACTCACTCTGACTTGATGCAGGGGACAAAGGTAATTGGATATACGGGCTTGTGGGTTCCAATTTAATTCTCACATTTTTATCCACATCTGTAATTACAAAGGACATTTGAGTTATATTTACATTTACAAATGTTACTTTATTAAGGGAAAAAAAAAATATAAAAGGTACCTGATGTTTGTTGTGCAACATTTGTATCACAATTTTCAAAACTAGTTGATGGTTCCCCTATGCATACATCTTCCGTAATTTGACTATCAACATCATTTTCTTTAATATTAGTCAATGGTTTTTCTATGTATATATTTTTTAAAATTTCATCATCAATACCATTATCTACCTTTGTAGGTATTTCACTTTCAAAGAACAACGGAATACCTAGTTCGGAACTTAAAGATTGAAATAAATCGTCTTGAAAAAGGGAACAATCTGAATCTGTAAAAATATAATCTATTACACAGCGAAAGAAACAGATTTAAAATATAAAAACCTAGCACTTTCAATTTCAACGAATTTTAATTGCCATGTTCGTTACTTGTTAGAAATTTTGATAAGCAATATAAAATCTATATACTATATTATATACAATATACTATGTATGTATAATTATAAACAAAGAAAAATAAATGAAATGTCATCTTATATATAAATATATAACGCACCCATAACTTCAAAATCTGGAAACGTCTGTTGAAGTTCAGATTCAGTATTATCGTTCCACTGTGAATCCTGATTTATCAACATAGTTCATTAAACAATGAATTTACTTTTTGCTCGAAGAAAAGGAAATCATTAACCCATAAAACAGTGTTCAACAGACATTAGTTTCGCCGGTATTGAACTACATAACAAATAGTTGTTAAATACAATTCCCGGTTTAGCCATGCATTTCAACTTCATTTACGAAGAAACGATTGCGTGGATGCGTTTTAATGATAACAACAATTATGTATATATTCCGTCCGTATCAATATTGTGTAAATATAACAACTCAGGCATAAACAAGATACACAACAGACTTATCGTTCAATGCATCTTTATGTTGTATTACAGACGAAGCGCAGAATATTAGCATTGAAGTATTACGTGTGAAAAGATATGGAGGATTGTGACACTAGGATGATAGTACGCAGCAGGCCATCGATAGATGGCAGCGCATAGCTGATCCTTGTGGAGGTGTAATTTAATTGCAAACAAAATGTATAAAAAGAATTGATATTTACCAGAATAACGATGGTAACAAAAAAAAAATTTTTTTTATAAAGTCAAAACATCCTACAAAACAGTGCACGTTTTATTTTTTTCGTATTTTACATGCAAACATTCGATAAAATATTTTATTGAAAATCCATGTATGTTTAATATATAAGATTATTTATTTAATTGCATATATATATGTACACATGCACGCGCGCGCGCAATATATATATACAAATGATTATATATAAGTAATTATTTCATTCTCTTCTGTTTTAACAAATGATTTCTTAAAGCAATTTGTTTCTCTTTAAAAGAACGTTTCACCTTTCCTTTTACTTTATGCTTTAACATTTGAAAAGCTTTGGTTTTCCTTTTTTCACGATTTGTTTTACTACAAAGTGGATTTTGCCGTCCATCCTTATAACCAAATTTTTCCCTTTCTTCTTGCCCTTTCTACAAAGAAACGAAATGAAAAGATATTAAAATAAAATACATAATAAATATGTAAATCAATAAAGAAATATATCTCTTTCTACGCTTCCTTTTATTTTATTCAAATTGTATTTTAAACATTTATCTATCTTCATCACGATGATGTAGAATACATTTAACATTTCTTAATAATCTTTAATAAATAACGTACAAGGAATCAATGTAACTGAATTTTTTTAGTTTGTGGCAAAAGTAAAACACGTACCTTCACAGATTCAATACGAGCTTGCTTGTCATATTTCCGTTTTTTATAAATATTTTCTATGTCTGCCAATTTGACAAAATCTCCGTGTTCGTTGTCTGTAGGATGAGCTCTTTTTATACCAGGTTTAGCATACGTTATTTGTTGTTTCGCTAACGCCGTATCTATTTTTAGAAAGTCTTCGTCAGTTAATAATCGTTCATTAGATATTAAAGTTGCTTTTTCTCTCTTCTCTGCATTGAGTATCTCTTTCTTTTTCACTTTTGTGTCTTGTTGTTTCTTCAGTTTCAATCGTTTTCTTTCAAGTTTTGATAACGAGCGACATTGCCTTTTTCGCTTTTGATTCGTAACACTATCGATATCTGTATCTGTGTTATTTATATTAAATTTAATATCTTTAACTTCACATACTTCTATTCCCATTTTTTCACTTTCGTTCATTTTAATTACATCTTTGTTATTATTTTTTGCGCTCTGTCCTTCTTTATTTTCTTCCAGCTCCTTTTCTTTTCTTTCCTTTACATTGTTGTCATCACTACCACCTTCATCATTATCTTCATCGTTGTTGTCATCACTATAATCATCATCGTTGTCGTTATCATCATCATCACCAGAATTTATATCAATCCATTCATCATCATTATCCTGCGATCATAATTTATATCAGTAAAAAATTTCTTTCACTTAAACTAATTGTAAATAAAGAATGAGTTCACTTCTGGTATATATTCACTTACAGAATTTTCTACATCAATCTTTAAAGTGTCTTCCACATTGTCAGACTTATTGTCGAGTAAAACTTCAGCACCTGGAATAAAATCATTAGCCGATATTTGACCATATTTTGGCATAGTTAAAGTAATGGTTGTTTCCGTAGGACGTCCTCTGTCTTTCTTATGCAGCAATTCAGGTATCGAATGTCTGAATAGAGATATCAATGAACGTGCAGCCATCATTACACTCCTTTCTTTGTAATACTTGTATCGTGCTAAATCTTGCAGTAAATCTGCATTCATAACTAATGGGCATCGCGTACATATCTCTCTAATAGCATTCAACCTTTTATATAAAATAATTTTATATTAAATGAAATGAAATGAAAATATTGTGAAAGAAAAATATATGCATACCCTATAGCCATGACATCTGCTGAATTTCGTTCTGTAACAAAATTGTTTGCTAATGTCTTCAAAACTGGTTCCAATGTATCAGGTGGTATAAGTTCATGAGAGGCTTGAGCAATACATTGCAAAAGTTTTGTTACTTCTAAAATTGTTAAAAATGATATGTTAGTATATTTTCTTTGTATATATTCTCATAACAATTTTCTAATAATAAAAAGATTACCTCTTTGGTGTGGTTGCAGAAATCTCTGTAAATAAGGATAAAAATTTAATAGAAATAAATTGTGTAAACCAATAAGCCTTGAAATCACATCCAATGTTAGTAGTTTAATTTCAAATCTATCATTGTTCCTTTCCAACTGTTTGAATAATTTTTCTGCAAAATTCTGTGGGTCATGAATTAAGTGTAATGCCGAAAAATTATAACTCGGTGCTTTCGTTGCTTTTTTCTTAGATTTCTACGGCATTTAAAATTTACATACATATTAATAATCATCCGTTTTTCTAAATCATCTGTATTTATAATTTGTTATTTTTTATTAATCGTTAGTCACTCACCGTTAACAGTTGTTTTGCTTTCGCTAAATGTTTCTCCCGTTTCTTTGTTTTCTTATTTACTCTATTAGCCATTATGATTTCTTTGATATTTGGTTCGCTATCGCTGTCACTCTCCTCATTTTCTTGTTCTTCTTTGCCAGTGCCCAAAAAGAATTTCAAGCAAGCGACTGTAACTTTGGTTGCCTTAACGAAACAACCTGTTGTCAGAACATTTACAGTTTTCGCATCATTCCAGATACCTTTATTATACAATTCTATCATGATATCTGCAGACATCTTTGCACTCCTAGCATTAGAATCTTTTAACATGGAAAACATAAAGTTTTGTAGAGTTGTATTGATCTTTGTATTCTTTTGTTTATTATTCACATTTTTGATATCAGTAATAATGTGTGTTTGAAGAAATTCTCTTAAATTTTTATCTTGACATCTTAAAAGTTCGAAACATAAACTCAGAAGTACCGTGGGTTCCAAAAGAGCTTTGTTACGTAGTTGAATCAAAGCTTTACAAAATGTCTATAAAAAAAAATATAATTTTATTCAGTTATAAAAAAAAGAAATTTAATTTGTCCTTTATTTAGTATTATTTTTAACATTTTACACTTACTAATCTTAAACCACTGTCAAGCACTGTATTATATGTTTGCAACACATCAATGATTTCTTGAGGAAATGATTCTAATTCATTTGGATAACAATGGGCCACCTATATTAAAATATAATTAGATTAAATAAGATAATAATAATTTATATATAATATGTTAAATTTATAGATATACATTCTGTGCTATAAGTAATTTATCTGTAAAAAGAAAATATGTTTATAAATTTTAATGTAATTTTATTTCGTAAAAAATTAATCAAGGAATACAAAATTAAAGTTATTAAATTTATACAATAATTAAATGGTTTTAGTTAATGCATTTTCGACTTAACATAAATTATACAAATAATTTTGAATATTAAATCCCACAGTCTTAGCTATGACGATAATAAAATCATACGTTACACAACATTTAAGTTTTGGCTCATTCAAATTATAATTTCCCACGATCGATAATAAACCAAGTTGACACATAGATGGAATCTGAGAAAGTAGATTAGCATTTATATCAACTTTCTCATTCAGGATTGCACAAAAAATAGCAATCATTCTAGATACTGGAAAATTGTAAGGTCCACAAAATGCATTTAACATTATTTTTTTTCTAGTATTAACTCTTTTCTTTTTCTTGAACTTTTGTTTTACAAATATGTATTTATCTTCCTTTGCGGGATTATATGAGGCCAAATACGATGCAATTAACATATACTTTGCATAATATGGTAATTCAAAGCTTAATGCCAAACTCATTGTTGATTCAATATCTTTAGACAATTGATTATCCTTTGTGAAATTTTCGGAGGAAACTCGTAGATAAATGACTTCTAGATTTGCTTTGAAGGTAGCAGAAATATTTCTCCACAACAAAGCAGTATCATTTTCTTTGGACTGATCAGTTTTGATAGGTTCTACGTATTTAGAGAAATTTATTTTTGCCATGTAACGAAGTTCATTGAGATCTCGACAGAACCGAAAAAATACAGAAAGATACAAATTTAAATAATTTTTATAAAATGTTTCTTCATAACCACAGGGTCTGCTTGAAAATAAAATTTCAATCAATTCATTTCTGGTATATTGTGGAAAATGAATTTTAAACGGTTCGTGTATACCTATTTTAACACGGAATTTCTCCCATACTATATCAGTTATAAATATTACACAAATATTGACGTTTGATAATTCTCCAAGTTTTGAAAATGTAGGTAATAAATCAACATCAATATCTCGCAATTTATCACACTTATCAAGTACTATTACGATCGGTCGATTGTCTTTTGTAGAAATATCTCTAAGGCTTATTATAAAATCAACAAAATTATCACACTTGCATTGTAATTGATTATTGGTTATAGCATCATTAGAAGGTAATGATAAATCGCCCAGGATGTACTCAAATATATGTCTTTTAGTCACATGTTCCACACAATTAATAATAGCTATATTGTATTTTAAGTAGGAGAGCATATTTTGCACTAGTAACGATTTTCCAGTAGCTACATGACCATAAATAAATATACTATGTGGCATTGGTTCGTCACAGTAACCAATTAGAGAATACAGTTGTGTTATAATGTTTTTACGACATATGATCTTTTTATCTAAATATTTCAAATATTTTTCCATGTTCAAAAATTTCTTAATTTCCTTAATGACAAATAATTTGTAACAATGTTACAATAAATAAATTACTCGCTTTATATACTTTGTCAATTATACCTGCAAAAGAAAGCATTTTTCTAACATTTAAGAATCTTATAGCACAGAAATGATGGTACAAATGTACATTTATTGAAATAATAAATTTATATGTAACTTTTTAACTTACCTGAGCCAAAAAGGTAACTACTTCATCAAGACTTTTGTTAAACTTATTTGGCGATAAACGAAAAACTTCTAAAATTGACTTGTAGTGCTGATGTTGCTGAAGAAACTGTAGAAATATAAAAGAGTATGTTAAAGTATATTAATCACATCAGAGGGACATATCGCACTGAAAATACTCACTTCCTCCTTGTAAGATTCTGGATCTCGTTTAATAAGATTTTGCAATTGAGGAAGATTTTCCGGCAATCGATTATTATGTCTTACCATCTTTTCCTCTAAATGAATACAAAAAATTAGATTTATGTGTGTGTATGTGTGTGTATATAAAATAAGAAGTTATTTACAACAATAAATACAAATGTATTTAAATTATATAACCTAATCTATACATCACATCGAATAACAATAATTTTGTAAATCTACTTACTCAATTTTTAATCATAAAAATATAAAGTGTTATTTATATATCTTTCTTTAACTGATTTTTATTGCTATTTAATATTATTTAAACTACATTATTCACGCGTGTCGCCTGTAAAACGTGGCTAACCAATCTAAACAATTGTCAAACATCATTAAAGGTTGATTTTCACTTGTGACAACTAACGCGCAAATTTTGAACAAAATAAGAAGAAGAAGAATAATTACCTCAAAAGGTAATAACAAGATGTTTAAAACTGGATATACTCATCATTTCAATTCCCTCTGGCAAAATTGTTACGCTGTCTAAGGGAAAAAAATTTTAGCGCGCTTTTTTTTATTGACTGACAACAGCGCCTGCACAAAGCCGACAATTATTCGTACAAATAAATTGTAACTACAAAAAAAGAACAAATTTTTAATAGAGCTTATCATTATTGATCATTTATAATTACAGGTGCAGACAGGGGTTTAATATTTATTTATGGTTTTATATAGTTTAGAAACACGCAATATTCATTAAGCTACATTTTCATTGACAAATCTCAACTACCAACCACAATTACTCCGCTTCACCTCTTTTATAATATCTACGTTTATGCGTATGCCGAACAAAGTATGTATATATCTCAATAAAAGTAAGAACGTACATTATAATGGAAATGGAATGGGACGATGAAATATCGGAAGATGAGGAAGAAATTCTGGTATACGTAGAATTTGAAGGACTTGTTGACGGTAACGTTTTCAGTGAGAAACAATTACAATTGGATATGATCGGTATAGATACGGAACATCCCATAATGCAAATCAATGGGAAGGTGATTACAAAATCCATGAGTAAACAACAAATGAAATTAATATTTTACTGACCTTTATTAAATTTCTCTTTCAATTTTTCAGTTTTACGAGGGTTCTTACGAAGACGTTATTGGTACCTACATGTTCTTCGCGAAAAATGACAATACCATAGTGGACGATCCTGTCTTCGATGTAGCTCCAAATTTTAAATACGTCGCCAAAACCAGGAAATTTTTAAAAATGCAAAGGATTTTTATAAAACCAAGAACAGAAGTTTTAGGCGATTCTCAAAATAACCAATGCATTCCGAATTCAGATACACTGATGCAAGCAGGGATACCATTTCAGTATCAAGAAGAAGGTAACAAAGTTGCAAGTTAACAAATTAATTTGATACAATGTAATTTTTTTTTCTTTCTTTTTATAGCTCTTTCATTTTGGAGGACTATGCGAGATAGTAGATTAAATGCATTACATACATATCTGGAAAAGCAACGTATCAGGGAACAAAAAAAGTCTGAAGGCATAATATTAGAATCCGAGTCTGACGAGGACAATCCGTTCGCGATATATAAGCACAAGGATGAAGTCATCGATTTAGACAAGTCTGTGAACATTGATGCTGATTCAAAGAAAGAATTAAGTTACTCTGATGATCAAGGTGATCCAGAGTTAATACGTCCCGAGGAAATTAACGATCAAAATTCAGGTACCACTGAATATAATTATAATCCAAAGAAATGTTTTTCCAAAGCTTCATTAACATCAAACATGATCATTTAACGCGGGCTGTGAAAGGTTATAAGGTTAAGATGTTTAGAAAGAAAAAGTTAAATGTAATAAAACACTGACTGTGATAGATAAAAAATAGAAACGCAACTTATCTTTTTGCAAAGTGACTGACGATAAAATTTGAAAGACAAATTAGAGTCTAATATTAGTAAAAGTTTCAGTTTATTTCATGAATATGAAAATATAGATCAATGTGGGATAGAAGTAATTGACTGAATAGATAAAATTATAGTCAATAAAATATAATTTTAAATAGTAAATTTTACTTTGTAAATTGTAGAAGAACGAGAAACAAAGATGAAAAAGATTTTAGTCAAGTATTGAAACAAAAAAATATATCTAATCACATACAAAAAGGAAATTAGTATTAATTATATATATATATATATATATATATATAAAATTATGACTGATAATTGTTAAATGAATTCATCGATCAACCATCAAGTAATATTTGTTTATTTCTTAATCTATCGGTACTTTCATAGCAAATTTACTTATTGAAACATAAAGAGCCTTTTATTTTGTTTACTTGACGTTTCAGACATTTCCGAACAATATGTTTCAATAAAATATTACCAGTTTTATTTATTATTATTATATATTAGAGAGCGCATTCTATTTAAATTAATTTTTAAATACTGAATTATTTTCTAACATTACGTACTGGTATTAATCAATCGATTAATACCAGTATAAAAGAATTCAATTTTTCAATTTTTGATGTCAAAGGCACTATTTAGATATATAAATATAATTTATTTTTTTACCAATCCAAATCACTAGGTAGTTCGTCAGGATAGTCTCCTGTCAAACAGGCAGTGCAATGGCCAATGTAACTACTCTCACGATTATCCATGCCAAATCTCACGGCTTTTACAAGTCCTTCTACTGAAAGATATGTCAAACTATCAGCTCCTACATGTTTTGCTAATTTTACATTATCTAATTTATTAGCAATTAATTCTTCTCTTGTTGGTATGTTAATCCCCATGTAACAGGGATATTTTAATGGAGGAGAGGCTATTCTAATGTGAACCTGTAAATATAAAAAGAATTATATTCTTACCATTTAATTGTTAATAAACCTCTAATTAATTGTAATACTTATAGTGCAATAACACAGATTTCAAATTTAAACAAAATCGTGGGAAGGAAAAACTTACTTCCTTTGCTCCTGCATCACGAAGTAATTTAATAATAGGACCAATTGTATTTCCTCTGACAATGGAATCATCTATAAGAATTAATTTCTTTCCTTTCACATTTTCCGACAAAGCGCCAAATTTTTTTGCCACGCCAAGTTGTCTGAGTCGAGTACTAGGCTGAATAAACGTTCGGCCAACATATCTATTTTTACACAGTACTTCCGCAAAAGGTATTCGAGACTGCAAATTAATAATATTACTTTGATAGAATAATTGCTATTTCATTATACAAGTTGTAAAAGATTGTTCTATCGATTATTTTTTCTACACAAATATATTTATATACATTTATATACTCTTAGTATATCCTATAGTACAATCTATAGTTAATGTTTTATATTACCGTTAATTTCAATCATAAAATTAATAAATTTACCTGTCTAGCATAACCGTGCGCTGCGGCAGTTCCAGATTCAGGTACTGAACTAACTATATCTGCTTCTACTGGAGATTCCAAAGCAAGTTCTCGTCCACATTGCATACGAACAGAATAAACCATTTGCCCTGTTAAACAAGATAAGATAATTTATTTAAAATTTTTGTTCTGCTATGTTACTTTCATTTTATTACCTTCGAAAATACTGTCGCTGCGTGCAAAATAAACGTATTCAAAAATGCAAAATGCCTGTGGCTTCTTGTCTGGTCTGTCAACAATATCTATTGTCTTAATACCTTCCCGCGTCAATTCTATAATTTCTCCAGGAAATACTTCACGCACGTATCGTGCTCCAATACTTAGAAAGCCACATGATTCAGATGAAATAACCCAACCTTCAGCTTCATCGTCATCATCCGATTCATTTCCTATCATGTGAGAAGGTTTTGTTAATAGCGATCAATCGCCGAACAAAATACTTCATTTTATTTACAATAATAGAAAATAATTTATATAATACGTGATGCATTATGTAATACATTCTAATATTCTGTTCTAAATTTATTATTGCAATTAATTACATACCTAAATTACCAATCGGTACAATTTTTCCTAGACATAATGGACGATTTCCATAAGGATCTCTAACACCATAAATTTTGTCCCTTTGCATAATTACTAATGAATATGATAATGGTGCTAATTGCATAAGATGTTTTATACGTGCAGGCCAATCTGGTCCATTAACTTCACCTTCAGGAGGATTCAAACAAAGTGCTTGCGTTATTAATTCAGAATCTGAATAGGTCGACAAACCAACACCGCGTCCTAATACCTAATAACAAATATTAAAGGAACAAATATTAAAATGACATGAAAATATATTGGACATTCTTTACTGATGGAATTACCATTTTTCTCAGTGATTCTGTATTTACTAGTTCTCCATTGTGGGCAACTGCTAGTGCTCCGTGTGCAGTATGAACCACAAATGGTTGACAATTAACTTCTTCACTAGCTGCACTTGTACTATATCTAGTATGACCAATTCCAAGGTTTCCACTAAGTTTTTTCATGTTTTCATCGTTAAAAATATTATTGATCATGCCCATACCTTTATGGACATGAAAAGATTTTGAACATACACCTTCGCTAGTAACAATGCCTGCACTCTCTTGGCCTCTATGTTGCAATGCCACTAAACCTATAGAAATATTAAAAAAATATTAAAGAGGCTTATTAATATATGACAAAAAAGTGTATTCATAAATTTACCTAAACAAATCACTTGAGCAACATCAATTTGTGATGGCCAGTCACCAGCAGCAATGCATCCAAAAACTCCACATTCATGTGTAAGGCCAGTCATTTCATTTTTTATTTGGTTTCTATTATGTAGCTTTTTATCTGTTTCATTTTTCTGAGATATTATTTGATTACAAGAATCTGTTTGCATGTTACAAGATATTTTAATTACAATCTGAAAATTATTAATACATCAGATAAAAGAATATGAAATAAGAAGTAATATGTTATTATACTCTACTGTGCCACAAGCTGAGATTTAAATTTTTAGATATGTCATGAAGAATTAATTTAAGATTCTATGTAGCATTATAAAATAACGATAAAACAAACTTTTTTTTTTATATTGCAAAACATAACAGACCCCCTTGAGATTTCTTGTGAATTATCAGTAATGACCCCATATAAACTATTGACCTTTAATAAACAAGATAGTACTCTTCTTCCAGTATTATTATGTATATTTTTTAATACACTTGCTTAATCAGTATTTCGCAACTGATTTCATCATTACATTCCTAATCCCATATCGTTACTAATATCGTTATTATATAGCAAAATACTTATAAATATTATTTGATACAACATAGAGAAATATCTTCATAAATAATTGTTCCAAAATAATAATAATTTTAGTCAAAATTGTAGAAAACACGAAATATCTAAAAAAAACGAGGAAGATATGCTATATTTCGATTTGTAATGCAGCTTTTGCTATTCAAAACTTAGTTTCATGTGCGCGCGTGCACGCTATTAGTACGTAACGTGAAAAATTATCCAAAAATAACTGTAACAACAATTTTATTAATTTGTTCAATATTCAATTGATCGAAGAGATTGAATTGTTTTATTACGAATGCAATCTTTTCATCAAGGACTTTGCCCACTTGTTGAGCTGCCTCGACATTTTAATAACAAATATAGAAAACAAATAGTACATAACTTCTATTTTCGAGTCATTACTCTTATAGCTAGAATTTCTTTAATGCATTCGTTTACTGAATTATCATTCATCGTGTCGAAACAATCTCATTCAAGAATACAAATTTTGAACTATGTAGATGTACATACCACGTGCGTCAAAGATTTGAGCCTTCGTGATCTTCCGTCAGCTTGAAAGCGATTTCAGCATGAAATATGTATCTCGGCTGGCTTTAGAAATACGAATGAATCAATTGACCAATGGAAATTTGCTTCTGACTGGAAGGGGTCAGCTTATTTAGCTATCTTTTACTTTTAAACTCCATGACTGCTTGCTTATACTCGTTAAAATATTGAACATCATTTGCTAAAATTTCAGAAAAGATCGATGATGATTTAATACATTTACGCCTATGTCAAGCTTATCTAATTATTCCTCGTTTCGTCATTGTAAATGGTCTCGTAGCTGTTCCAGTTTCTCTTGAATATAAATTAAACTCTCCGTAAACAGATCGCATAAAAATTAAAGATTACATTACGAACGATCTTATTGATATTGATCATACGATTGATTACGAATTTTATGATTGATTGTAATTTTATTACAATTTTTTAGTATACATATTATGGTTTATATTCGTATAAAATGAAATAGATAAAACTCTTAAATTAATTTGTATATTTAAAATAAGCATTTTGATATTATTACGTACCCTCAGAACGGACAATAAAGTTTTGTTGAAATTTTCGAAATAACGAAATTTATCATAATTTATCAAGCTCCTTAGATTATTTAATCGAGTAATCAAATGATTTGTTCAAATTCCTTAATGCATTTGAATGTTCGAGAATTTCTCATCGTATTATATGATACATAAGATTCATAGATCTACTGTAACTGATATAAAGATTATTTATGAATTTACGCCAATCAAGAGGAGCTGGATTTTGGAAGAGGGGATCGTTAAAGGGATCTTTAATCGCACGAGAATTAAGTTACAAAGTATTTGCGAAGTGGATTGAAAAGAAGAAACATGAAAGGTAAATATTTGATTAGTTACTATATAATTAATAAAACATATATATTATGAAATGTATTATGTTTAAGAAAAAGAAAAACTGAACATTATGACTTTAAGAAATGAAATGTTTTTCTTTTAATTCAATTCATCTATTATAAATATCAATTTCAAAATATTCTTATTTTATTTTCGAAATTGAAATTTTCTGTTCACTCTCTGGTCAAGTCTTGTTCTATATTCTGCATGTTTGTCTTCGGAGAAATGTAAATAATACAAACTAATAATGACAATGATTGATGTGGTTAAACAAAATTTTATAGTACTTAAATATATGATTTATATTTTAAAAGTTTGTTTAAAGATATTGTTAATTGAAAAAGTCATAAATTGTAATAAAAAATTCTTTTGTCAATATGTTTATTATGTGAAATATTAATTACTTATTGATTACTTATAAATTAATACTTACTTGGATAATTTTATAAAAACTAAAATAATATTATTTAATTTCAAATTTTTATTGCATGCAGTAACTTATTTCTCAGTTTTCAGCGCATTTGCTTATGTAATGTAAATAATTTTTATCTTGTTAGAATATAAATATGGACAACTCATTGTTGAAGGAAAAACTAAAAAAGTGTATGAGGTTCTAAATGACTTTACTTTGTGTCTCCTACAAAGCAAAGATCGTATTACTGCTGGAGATGGTGAAAAATCTCATGATCTAAAAGGAAAAGCTGCGATTAGCACAGCTACCACAGCTAAAGTTTTTCAATTGCTAAATGAAGCTGGAATAAAAACTGCTTTTGTCGAAGTAGTAAATGACACTACTTTTATTGCACAAAAATGTGATATGGTGCCAATAGAATGGGTCACTAGAAGATTAGCTACTGGCAGTTTTTTAAAAAGGCATCAAGGTATAAAGACAATCCTATATTCTAATCCTGCAAAAAAGATTATATAGAGATGTTTATTTGTTTTATCTTAATTTTTATCATCCAGGAGTTCCAGAAGGATATCGATTTAATCCACCATTACAAGAAACATTCTTTAAAGATGATGCTAATCACGATCCACAATGGTCAGAGGAACAAGTTATTTCTGCTGGTTTTAAATTGAACGGTCTTACAATAGGGAAAGATGAATTTGACATTATGCAACGTACTTCTCTTGTTGTATTTGAAGTTTTGGAAAAGGCATGGGCAACTAGAAATTGTGCTCTCATTGATATGAAAATAGAATTTGGTGTGAATGAAAACCATGAAATTTTGGTAGCAGACATAATTGACAGTGATTCTTGGAGACTTTGGCCATCTGGAGATAAGAGATTAATGAAAGATAAACAGGTATGTCTCACAGGTATATCCCGGCACTAGATCCCTACGTGGGTAATCCTGGGTTAAAGAAACTATTAACAGTTTCATTACCTTTGTTTGTAGGTATATAGAAATTTAACTACTGTAACCCAAGAAGATTTGGATACTGTGAAACATAATTTTAAATGGGTAGCAGATCAACTTGATTTCCTCATTCCACCAACAAATAGTCTTGTTGTTATTTTAATGGGATCACCTTCTGATGAAGATCATTGTAAAACAATTGCAAAACATGCAAAGTCTTTAGGTTTAAATGTTCAACTTCGTGTATGTAGTGCCCATAAAGGTACTGAAGAAACATTGCGTATTCTTGCAGAATACGAAGGTATTCATACGAAGGTATGTATATTGTCACTTTCAAAAATGGATTATAATTTTTATACTATAACTAAAAAATCTTGTAACCATTTGCATTTTCATAAGTTTTTTTAAAAAACATATATAATGAATAATTTATAAATTTTGTATGTATAATTATATTATATACATATATATGTATATAAATATGTTGAATATTAACATTCATTCAAGTACAAGTAATAATGAAGTATAAGTACAAGAATAATAACAACAGTAGTCGATTTATTGTACGAGATCAACAATTATATTTGAAGTCATAACAAATAATGTATCGTTCGGACGTATATTGCGAAGTAGTTTATCATCAGAACGCAATGATAAAAATACTGATAATTACGAATATGTGTTGTTTATTTTTGAATTATCACAAGTTTTTTTTTATTTCTCTTAGGTGGTGTTAATAGCTGTAGCAGGGAGGAGCAATGGATTAGGTCCAGTACTTTCTGGCAACACATCTCTGCCTGTTATTAATTGCCCACCTTTTAAGCCAGAAAACATTTCGCAAGATTTATGGTCGTCCATAAACGTTCCATCAGGTAATTTACCGACTATAGTTTAATTATGTTTTCAATTTTTATTATAAGAATAATGTATTAAGTAAAATTTACTAAACTTTCAGGAATTGGATGCACCACAGTTGCTTATCCTGAAAGTGCAGCATTAGCAGCTGCTCAAATTCATGCACTGCATGATCATTTGGTTTGGGCACGCCTACGAGTAAAACAATTAAAAAATTACATCGCTTTAAAACAAGCTGATGTTAAATTAAAAAATTTTATTCTGTAATATGTTGTGTCAAAATTCTTTCGTGTTTAATATCAACGAGATTGCGCAACATTATTTTAAACGTAACAAATAATTGAGCAATTATTCATACAAGTTTATACAAACCAATGTATGATAAATGTTTTACAATTCTTAATTTCAATCGATGTGATCTTTTTACAATGATATTTATGCTATGTACATAAATATTCATAGTATTTAGATCAATAATTATATTTGAGTAATTATCAAGTGAGTAAATTTAATTTTGTATAAATGTTTATATTAGCACTCTTTGTGTATACTATATTATTGTTTTTCCTAATTATTCTTTATTGGTTGCAAGTATATAACGTTCATTTGTTCAACTTTCAACAAATTTACGAATAAAATAAAAATATGCATAATTTTGTACATGATTATTTCTCATGTATCACATATTTAATCTGAAATAAAATAAAATAAAAAAATAGAGTGATTAATTCATATCAATTATATCAATAAAATTATATTAAATGAGTCAGTATATGTAAAAATTGAATTATCAATATCAGACATTAAAATTTTAATGTAAGTGTAAGTAGTATTTCACTTAAAGAAAGGATAGAATCTTGATTTACGTAGTTTAGATATTTTACATACCTTTTCATATTTTGTGCACTTTGTAAAATTTTACACTTTGAAGTTTTTTATAAATGCATAAAAATTTGCTGTATAATTATTACACACAAATAGAATCATTATTACAAATGTTGACTCGCTAAAGCTTCTATTTTAGCAATTTCTTTTGGGCAGCTTTCCGTTAAAATTACCGGACCATTTTCCGTTATTAAAATATCATCTTCGATGCGAACAGCTAAACCATGAAATTCTGGCGGTGCAAATCGATTTTTATGATTTACATATATTCCTATAAATAACAAAGGTGAAATTATTTTACATGTTACAAATGAATTAATATCTCTCAAGGGACATTACCAGGTTCTACTGTAACTATCATTCCTTGCTGAAGTTTTATATTCCTAGAGATCTTTCCTGTGTCGTGCACATCCATTCCCAAATAATGACTAACATGATGTGGACAATAGGCATAAACCGCGGAAAACAATTCATTTTTATTCAAATGTTTCGGTATTAGTCCATTTTCTTGTAATCTTTTGCCCAGTAAAGAGCACATATCATGATACAATTGATCTAACGATGGCAACTCTTTCAGTCTATGAATTAAAATATTTTGAACATCCAGTACTATGCTATACAAGATCTTTTGCTCTTGCGTAAATGTTCCATTAATTGGCCATGTTCTGGTTACATCAGATGAATAACCATGATATTCGCAACCTATATGAAATTTTTAACAGTAGAGTCACAATTTAAGGATGAAATACTTTTTTTTTATCTATAAATATCAAACCTGCATCCATCAAAACCATATCTCCATCCTGAACTATTTGATTATTGGTAATATAATGGATAATATTAGCGTTTTTACCCGCAGCAACAACTGGTGGATATGCCAAAAATTCTGCACCATTCATCCGACATTCATAATCTACAGTTGCAAACAAATGATGCTCGCTCATTCTAGGTTTCGATATTTCTATAGTTTTAGATATTGCTGTTGAAATGATCTCACAGCTCTTTCTCATTAAATCTATCTCAGATTGTGATTTAATTAATCTGATTTTGTGCATTATATTAGTTGGAGAGATGAGCATTTGACCACCTGTCGTTTTCACTAACTCACACAACTTTTTGTGCAAATTCAACTGTGCTATGTCCACAGCGTCATACCAAATCACACTCTTCTTATTCTCATTCATAAACGATGTAAAGAACTGTTCAAACTCTGTTACTGGAAATGCTGCGTCTACGCCAAACATTTTGGGTGCTATTTCAGCTCCAGTAGTAGGGCCATCCCATAATTGGGAATGTTCGTCCCGTTGTGTCAGAAAGAGATTAGTCACGGAGCTCTCATCTTTTATAATAATTACTAAAATACCATTAGGTTCTTGACAACCAGTGAAATACAAGAAGTCAGTATTTTGACGAAAAACGTACGGAATTGTGTCAGACATGTACACTTTGGATGAAGAAGGAATCACAACAATGTGTGATTTGCCTGAATTCGTGACGCAGGCGTGCAAAACAATGTTTTCTACCAGCTTGTTCCGCCTCTCTTTGAACTCGCAAAGCTGTATACCAGGTACAACCTCTCCATCCTTTACCAAATGAGGATGTGTTGTTGCTGTTGGTTGGCCGCATGGTCGAGAGAAACCGTCCGACGACTCCTTACACTGTCGCCGATTCAAATTATTCGCAACCGTTTCTAACGATTGTCGTATGTACGTTCGCAGCCCTGAAATTACAACGAATACCACTATGAGAATATTTTGTATTTGCGAAACATAACCTAACACGCATGTGTAGGGAGATATAACCTATCTCATTTGTCATTGCTTTTATGTCTTTCATTTCTCACCATATTTTTTTACTTGAGATACAAGAGAGTTTCTCACAGTGTTAAACATGTCAGTGTAATTTCAATCAAGATGTTTCAATGTATCGAATGTCTTGGCTGTTAGAGCGAAACCGTGTATCACCGCGCCATTATTCAGCGACCAATGCAGAGTTGACTCGCGTAGTGGTTTCGCAAATTACACACAATGCATCTATTCCAAACTACTGCCGTGACAATCACAATGTAACCGATCGTTTCGCGAACGAAATCGGAGAGGCAGACTTGACGTAGCACCAACATTGCTCTGCACTGTTTATCGCGGCTCCGTATCTAACGTTAGAGTCGCTGTTTTACGATCGATACGCAGTCAAAGATCATGTGACGTTTTGAGAAAAATTGAAGCTGACGAGAAGGAGTCTACGATCCGAACGTCGTTGCACCGAACGTACGTACGTACGAGTTTGAGATAAATAAATAAGTGACAGTTTCGATCGCACGCGGTACAGATCGTGGTTCGTAAGGGGAAAAGCAGTTTCATGTGACAGTACCGAAGCGAAAGGTAACCGTCAGTTCTCGCGATGATCGATCATTTTGTTGCAGGGCGAAGTGACAACTGGCAAACCCTTCGAATGTGCCTGTTCCAAGAAATCGAAGATGTTACTTTACCGCCTCGGCTAACGTACAAAAGCACGGTTTCGCGAATCACCGGCAGCTCCTCGAAATTAAAATACCCGTGTATTCGATCGAAGTTGGAGACTTTTCATTCAAGAGAGGGCAGAATAACAACGAGGGTTATACGATATATTTATGCAGTGATTCACAAAAATAAAACAGCGTTGTTTCGCACAGCGTAGACGTTTAATTGCGAATCACAATGTAAAAAGTTCAGTTCAGCTTCGGGATTGTATTTTTTAGAATTTTATAGATTGAAAATTGATGTAATTTTTGGATATTTGGTATATATACGTATACACACACATATATATATAAAAATATATATGTGTATATAATCGGAAAATTAACATGAGCATTCAATTCGATATTACAATGAGGCCAGAAATCCGCCTGGACGCAAAATGGCTGAAAACAGATTTGAAACGTTTGCTCTATCGAGACGGTTTGGCCGAACTGTGGAATGAAATGGTACGCGATGGAGAAATTGTAGGTTCCTTTAGCGATGGCCTAGTCAATGCTGCGGGTGTAATAGCTAGAAAAGGTCTTTCAAATTTTACATTAATCATTCATACTAGTTACATACATATTGATACTGACTATATACTATTTCAACGTATTTAGGCGAAAGCGGTCATTATTATTGTAACATGGGTGTGTTAACATGTCCTTGTTGCAACGGGATTTGTGGCCCGCAGAATGGTTGCAACTGTGGACCTTGTCAGAAATTAGACGAAGAGGAAGCTGCAAGGACAAACGTGTCTGTAGAGAAAAGAAAATCAGCCGAACAGATAATGGACTCTTGGCTTTGGGGTTCTCAGCCATGTAAAGAACTTTTCATTTTCAAACAGTGAAACTTTTGTACTTTTCTAAGTACTTTCATAACCATTTTGAAACATTTTCTTCAGCTATTTGCGATCTGACAACGTGCATCAATTTGTTAATCAAAGAGCAGAGGAAATTGTGTTACGAAGTTGCAAACAGTACCTTGTCTGCTACACGGTTAAGGCAACGTTTGGTGGTAGCGAGACGATATTTTACGGCTCTTTCTCGCCATAAACCGCAGGAAACCAAAGATGTTTCAACAACGTCGAAACCTACCGCCAAGTTACAAAAAATGTACAATAATCAACCTTGAGATTCAAGTAGTATAAATATTACATGTATTTATATTGTAAGGGTTATACGTGAATACGTTGATTATTAACCGACGCTCGTTTATACTCGTATAACGATCATGTGATATTTTTTAACAATCTTTTATACATCATTCAGAATATGTGTATATATGACATGTATGTAATTTCAGCGTAAGGCCGAATGAGAAACCGACATTGGGTTTAGCGCGCGTAGGATCTCGTGCAGCGCTAAACTTTTCGTTCGCGTATTTAAGACGGGCTTGGAGATCCGGAGAAGACGTAGAATTTTGCAGCGAGCTTTTGTCCGAGTCACTGGAGGCTTTACAATCTTTGCCCGAAGCCACACTTTTCGATGAAACCAACGTATCTCAAGTATGGTTGGAAGTGGTAGAAAGATCAGCGAAATTTTTGAGACAAGTTGTTACAGGGTATTTGTTTCCAAGATTCATTTCGTCACTTGTTGCCACTGTATTGTCGCTGTTATTAATTTATCGGTATTTGTTACATATAATTTTACTTTCAGGGATATAGTCAGTGGAAGATCATGGTGCCCCATCCCAATATCCGATCAGCACACGGCTCTCTGTTTGTTATTGGAACTGGTGACTCAAAGAGCTACACTGTCCAGCTTATTGGATTCCGTTTGTTTATTACTACATCTGAGTGGCAAGCACAAACATCAGGATAACCGAGTGATGCCACCAGGAAGCACGGCGCCGTTGATACCATTATTGAGACGGCTGAACATGATACCAGCTTCCAAGTCGAGACGAACAGACGTGAACATCGTACCAGGACCTTGCGAGGTTCTCCTCAAGTATCTGAGACTTCCCGAAGACGATTCCACGTCGGTGGATCTACGGAAAGCCGCTGTTATAATAATGTGCAACCTGAGCAGGTTGGCTGCTCCTCTGTTGCCTCCAATTGTTACCGACAGATTCCAGAAGAATCAAAGCCAAACGTTCCAAGAAGTTCTGGCTTGGGGAAGCGTGAAATTTGGCAACGGCTCCTCTCCATTTTACTGCGACGCGATCGCCGAGCTTGGTATCAAGCAACTTTGTTGCACCGAGAGAGCTCTGATGATCCTCTCGATCAGCGGGAACGTTTACATGATGTACTACGGGTCCGAAGCCCAGTATCCCCAAAGAGTGTACGGATTCTCGGAGAAGCCGGTCACAATGATCGCCTCTCACTCGGACGGCACGCACTACTTGGCGTTAACGCAGGACAGCTCGGTTTATTCGTGGGGTAACGGGGACGGTGGACGTCTGGGTCACGGAGACAGAGCGTGGTACGACGAGCCAAAGCTGATCGAGGCGCTGGTGGATAAGAACATAACGTTCATATCTTGCGGAAGCACGTATTCCGCGGCTCTCAGTTCCAACGGCGAATTGTACACGTGGGGACGAGGGAATTACGGAAGATTGGGTCACGGAAGCTCGGACAACGTTTCGGTTCCCACGTTGGTGACCGGCCTGAACGGTCACATGGTAGTATACGTGGCGTGCGGTAGCGGCGACTCGCAGACGTTGTGCGTGACAGCGTCCGGCATAGTATTCTCGTGGGGCGACGGGAACTACGGGAAGCTCGGTAGAGGAGGCTGCGACGGATCCAAGACGCCAAAAATAGTGGACAAGCTGTTGGACATAAACGTAGCGAAAGTGTACTGCGGCGGACAATTCTCGGCGGCTCTGACCGCGTACGGCGAGGTTTACACCTGGGGAAAGGGAGAGGCTTATCGGCTGGGACACGGTAACGAGGAGCACGTTAGATACCCGCAGGTGATCGACGCGTTGAAGACGAAAAAAGTGAAGGAACTGTGCGTGGGTAATTTGCACGTATTGGCGTTGACGGAGGATCAACTGGTGTACGGATGGGGTAGAAACGATTACGGTCAGATAGATCCGGCGTTGGGCACGGTGGTGCCCGAGCCGACCGTTTGTCCAACGTTGTCCGGGAAGAACGTGATCGGCCTGGCCTGCGGACCGACGCAAAGTTTCGCCTGGTGCACGTCAGCGTGGTCGGTGGCGAACAGGGTGGCCTTCGTCGTGGACATCTGCGAGGAGACATTCCGACTGTTGGACACGTTGTTGAGCAAGGCGTGCGAGGGATTGCCGGGCACACGGCCACCTACCCAGGACCGCGAGTGTTTGGCGGTGGCGACGTTGAACCTGATCCGACTGCAATTACACACCATGATCACGCACAACATGGACGGCAAATTGATCGGATTGTCGAACACGCCGTTGTTGAACTCGTTGAAGCAACGGTGCGTCACGCTGGCAAGCAGCAGCGGCATTCTGGCGACCATTCAGGAGGCGGCTCAGGCAGTTTTGCAAACCGGTTGGAGCATCCTGCTGCCGACAGCGAACGAACGGGCGAGAACGTTGTCGAATTTCCTCTCAAAGGCGAACTGCAGCAGTTTCGAGCAGATAAACGCGAGCAACGGCCAGCAATTCATGGCGGACTTGCTGGTCTCCAGCTTGATGGCGGACGGTGGCCTGGAGTTGGCGTTGAAGATCGCGGTGAAGACGGAGACCAGCGAGCTAGCGGAGGACGAGAAGGACTTTCTCGCGAGCAACGTGAACAACGCGGGCAACGCGGGCAGCAAGTCGACCGACACGAAACAGGTGAAGGAATTGAACACGGAGAAGAACAACACGAGCATCTCGTTGCTGCAGCTGGTGAAACAGTTGATCAAGAACGGCAGCTGCATCACGCAGTCGAGGTTACTGGTCGGGCAGCAGCAGCTGCTCCGCAACAACTTGCAGGAGGAGCTGCAGAGGAACGACAACTCGCCCAGCTTGAACCTTCTCTTGAAGTTTCAGCGGCTGTTGATCGCTCAGGTGTACGAGTGCGTGGACGACTGCGTCGGGACGAAGAAGACGCGCGATCAGGAGATGCTCGGCGCCGAGTCACTGTTGAAGAAGTACCTCTCGCAGATTTGCGTCCACGTGACGGACATAATGTCGTCGGCGGTCGATCTGGCGAACGCCGGCGTCAAGCAATTCGTATTCGTCGCCACCGTACTCCGAGGTGACATCGTGAACGTTTTGCTACCCGAGCTGGTTACTTGCCTCATCCTCTTGCAACTCGACTACCCGTTGCTGCTGCTCAACACCAACTGGATGGAGGTGATGACACCGATGCTGGACGCGCTCGATCGTTTCAACAAGCTGGTGCCAACGATCGAGAAGAGCGAGACGGACGATCTCTCTTGGCCGGGGATCATAGCTCCGCAGCACGGCAACAAGATATCCGTGTCGGACGATCAACCTTCGACGATCCGCTGGGCCGACCTGGAGAACCACAATCGCGACGGTGGCCTCTGGGTGGTGGTGAACAACAAGGTGTACGACGTGCAGGACGTTCGGTTCGACGAAAGGAGGTCGAACTCGTCGTTGGAGGAGGATCTTCAGAGGTGCGTGAGCGAGACGACGAACGTGCCGGCGTCTCGCGGACAGCTGCCGCGGACCATGATGGACTCTTACTTCGTCGGCCACTATTGCCACTCGGAGCCGGAAACCACGGAGATCACGATCGACGTGACGGACGTGTGCTCCTGCCTGCTCGACACCGAGAGGGCCCTGGGCTTTCTGTTGGGGCTGCACGCGCACAGGATGCGGCAGAGTTTGCCGCTGCAAACGGCCGAGGAGGAAGCCGGTCGTTGGTTGAACGCCAACTTTCTCAGGGGTGGGCTGCAGGTGCTGCAGCCGCCGAATCCGTACGAGGAGGAGAAGGGAGAGGCGAGGAGCAACACCTCGACGGCCGCCAACTCGCCGACGGAACCACCGCTTCTCCCCCATGTCCGCACCAAGAACGAGCTGCAAAAGGAAAGGCGGGAGGACGACCGAGTCACCGCGTTCATCTACACCCTGGCCGAGACTCACAGGACCACGGACGCTCAGGTTCATTCGTTCTTGACGCTGGTCGACAAGTACTCGAAGGCGAACAACCTTTTGGCGCACACCGAGTTCTCCGGCGATCACCCGGTCGAGGAGGTTGGCCGACTGTTGACGGCCGTCATGGTGAAGCATCTGGCCCTCGGCCATCAGGTGATGAACTTGATCGATCACCACGAGGCAGGGAACGAGAGCAGCTGTCCCAAACTGACGAAACAGTTGTCCGAGGTGATCAGAGCGGTTCATCAGACCAAGTGGAACTTGATCAGGATCCGACAGCAGCAGAACAGGAGCTACAAGGAGGTGTGCGCCCCGGTGCAGGAGAAGTGCAGGTTCCTCTTGCACGAGGTGAGATCCGCGACCAGCTACGAGATCAAGGGGCTGCAGGATTTGAAGTTGTTGTACACCGTGTCGAAATTCCGGAAAACAGCGAGGACGGTGATCAGGGACATTCGAAGGAGCAGAGACTCGGCCGAGCGGCCGAGCAAGCCCGAGGACATATTGAACGCTTCGATTCAGAGCGCGAAGATGAAAAACAAGTCTGACGAAGATGTGTCGATCGCGACGACGACGACGACGACGACGACGATGATGATGACGACATCGATGACGACGACGACGACGACGACGATGACGACGACGGAAGCAGCAACAACAGCAGCAGCAACAGCAGCAATCGTCGTGTCGACGATGATACCGACAATAGCAACGATAACGACAGCAATCCCGTCGTCAACAACAACGGCGACACCAACACTCGCGACGATGACTACGATGACTACGATGACTATGATGACTACAACCACGACGACGACAACAACGACGACAACAACAATAACTCCAATAGCAACACCAACGTCGACACCGACACCGACACCGACACCGACGCCGACGCCGACGCCGACGCCGACGCCGACGCCGACGCCGACGCCGACGCCGACGCCGACAGCGACGTCAACGACCACGACGACAACGTTGACGCCGACGCAGACGTCGACGGCAACCTCGGTGCCACAAATCTCGCCGAGTTTCGCGCAAAAGGAAACGGGCGGCAAGCAGCAACAATCGCTGGCGTCGCCGAGGTTGGAAAACTCGTCGACGACAACGGGCAACAAGAGGAGCAAGGCGAGGCAGAGGACTCTGAACATCGACTCGAGCGAACTGATGGTGAACATAATAAACTTCGTGATAACCGAGGACAGCGGAGACGCGGAGACGCTTCGTCGAGCGATGTACTGCCAGATGCAGCGGGCCAAGCTGCGCGAGCAGGGGATCCTGGTGATGCAGCAGCTGCTGAAGAAGGACTACCTGATCACGTCGGTAAAGTACTCGTTGCTGAACGGCTGGCTCGGCCTGTCGCAGGAGAACAGGTCGCTGGCCGAGGGGATAACGCACTGCCTCGAGGACATTCGGTCGGTGACGCCGTACCAAAAGTCGAAGATCATCCTGGCCGAGGCGGAGATCACCGGTTGGGCGGTGCAGGCGTTGCGAGCGTACGTGGTGCAGGCGGAGCTGCCGAGCAAGCCGGCAAGGGCGGCCAAGATGAGCGACAAGAGCAGCGTGAACCAGGGGACGTACACCTGGCTGAGGAAGTTGCCGAGGGCGCGATTCTTGCTGACGATACTGGGCATGCTGACCAACTACCAGCACGCGAACGAGGTCGGTTTGCTGGTCAACTCTGGCTGCGTGTCGAGCGTGTTGACGCTGCTGAGGCAGATCGGGCCGTCGTCGTCGTGGTCGGCGTCGGCGTCGGAGACGGCGGAGGCCGACGGTGACGGGAGCGCGCGGCCGAAGGACGGGCCGGTGACGGTGATATACGAGGACAGTCTGGAGAAGAGCAAGCCGCAGAGCGTGCAACTGACCGGCACGGAGCTGGCCGCGTTGATGAAGATCGGGACGAGAGTGGTGCGCGGCGTGGACTGGAAGTGGGGCGACCAGGACGGGCCGCCGCCGGGCGAAGGTCGAGTGATCGGGGAACTCGGCGAGGACGGGTGGATTCGCGTGCAGTGGGACAACGGGGCGACCAACTCGTACCGGATGGGCAAGGAGGGCAAGTACGACCTGAAGTTGGCGGAGCCGCCGACGCCGCCGGAGACCGACTCGGAGATCGACTCGCCGGCGGTGGAGTTGGCGAAGGCGAACGTCTGTCCCGCCGGGGAGAAGAGGAACGGTGACTCGGTGGTGGATGTGCATCCGACCACCTGTCTGAAATCCGCCTCGGTCACGGTGCTTCGCGTTCTCCTCTTTTGCTGCGGCATCGAGGCCGACCGCGTCACTCCCTCGGCCATAAAGATACTCGCCTCGGTGCTGCGCGGCATCCTCTCCGCCGCCTACGGAAACCGCCAGCTGAACGCGGCGCATTCGCAGCTCGCGCGCGAACACCACGAGACCTGGGCGACCCTCGGCTCGTTGAGAGCCATCGCCAAGTCCACCGAACTCTGCAGGTCCCTCAGCACCAAGGCCTGGCTCAATTTCCTCCTGAACATCATCGCCGAGCAAACGAATCCCAACCTGGAGAAGCAGATAATGGCGGTGCGTCTGCTGACCGCGGTCCTCCCCTCGTGGAACGCCGACAGTCAGCAGAGCCAGCAAACGCTGGTTGCCTTGCTCGAGAGGATCTTTCGCATAATGGGGCACGTGGCGCTCTGCTGCAATCTGAGCGCAGTTGGCAGCGAGCTCTACTCGAACAAGTGCCGCGTCTCGTTGACCGCCTCGCACAGCTCGACCGTGGTCGAGGAGCTCGTGTCGCTCGTCAGATACCTGCACACCCTGCCAAAGTGGAACGCCACGTTGAACGCGTTCCTCGCCTCGAAGCTGTCGCTGGCCGCGGACTTGTTGAGCGACGGCCCGCTGTTTCACATACAGCTGAACGAGAACGGCGGCGAGAACAGCGCCAACATCCAAGACACCGTGATGGCGGCTCTGATCGTAGCCGGTGGTCTGGACGACCGGCCGAGAATCGGCGGTCTGATCGAGGTGGCCGACGGACAGGCGGTCGGCACCGTCTGCAGATTCACCAAACGCTCCAAGATTCTCGTGCAGATGCACGACGCCGACAACACGCGCAAGAAGCTGCCGTTCTACGGCGTCAAGCCACTCGGCGAGAAGTTTCGTCTGGACCGAATGCCCATGCCGGACTCGTTCGTCCCCACTTGGGTCAACCTGCTGCTGGGTCATCGGGGAATGGACAAGAGGCCGAACGGCATGCCGGTGATTGCCGGCTCGGTGAACGCGTCCATTCTACGCAGCCAGCAGCAGCAACTCGCCGCGCTGAACGCCGGCAAGATTCTGTTGGATTATCAGACAAAGTTGAGGAAGATATTGAGGTACGCGATCGACAGCAACAGCGGCAGCAGCAGCAGCAGCAACAGCAGCAGCAACAGCAGCAGCAGTAGCAGCACCACCACCACCACCACCGCCAATAACAACAACAATAACAACAACAACAATAACAACAACAACCATTACACCCATCAACAACACCAGCAGCCTCAACATCATCATCACCATCATCATCATCATCATCATCATCATCATCATCATCATCGTCGTCATCACTACCATCATCATCATCAGCAGCAGCAGCAGCAGCAGCAGCAGCAGAATCAGCAGCAGCAGCAGCAGCATCATCATCATCATCATCTTCGTCATCACATCGACGAGGAGAGCATCTGCGACTCGAGCGGCCGACAGTGGGACAAGGACGGCGTGAAATGCCACGCGACCGTTGCTGTTCGCCGTAGCGAGAGGATCAACGAGGACAAGAACGACGAGGAAGTGAACGGCGACAACAACGAGGAGGAGGAAAACGACGACAACAACGAGGGAGAGAACGAGGAGGACGACGGTGACGAGGACGACGAGGACGACGACAACGACGACAAAAACGACGAAGAGAACGAGGGCGACGTGGCGCAGGAGGAGGAGGAGGAGGAGGAGGAGGACGACGCGAACCAGGTGAGAGCGTCGACGATCGTGGTGGTGGTGGACAGCGAGAGAAACAACGGCAAAAGCAACGACCAAGCAAAGAACAAGAGCGGCAGCAGCAGCGGCAACAACAACAACTACAACAACTACAAGTACAACTACAACAACAACAACAACGGCGACAGCGACAAGTTCGGCGAGAACGTCGTTGGAAGCGAGATGGCGAGGAATTATCAAAACGTCGCCAGCGACGGTCAACCAAGTCACGAGGTTAACCTCGTCGGGGGGACCAACGCCGAGGACAGTTACGCGGTAGACCAGAGTAGTAGCGCGCAGAGTAACGGGAACGGTGAGAGAGGAGACGGTTGTCGCGGCAGGCGTACGATCTTGTTCCAAGAGATGTTGATACGAGCCACGAGGCCGCAACCGTTGAAACCGATATTCAAGCGCAAGGAACTGGAAGAGGCGGCTCTGACGGTTTCGCAGTACCTCGCCTCCGAGCTGAGACACTCGCCGATTCAAGGTGCCGCGTCGACGACGACGTCGACGACAACAACGACCGTGACGACCGTGACGACCACCGCTGCGACGACGATGGGAATAGGAACGGGAATAGCGTCGGCGTCGGGCGGCGGTGCCGGCTTCTCGGAACCCGATTCACCGGCGTCCGACTGTTCCCTGGTGTCGTTAACGTCCAGCCAGAAGAAACACTGCAGAAGCAGCGGACGAAAGAGTCCACCGCCGATGAGCCCGCTGGTGGCGCAGCTGACCGAGATGGGCTTCCCGAAGAGGAGCGTGGAATTCGCCATCAAGAGCCTGAGCACGGCGGTCGGTTACATGACGGCGGAGACAGTGGTCGCCTGGTTGCTGGAGAACCCAGACGCCGCGCTGAGCGACAGCGAGACGTTGTCCAGTCCGGTGTACGGGCTGTCCGATCCGGAGGACTCGAGCAGCGAGAACATGGACGAGTCACCGTCGAGCCACAACGCCGCCGCCGCCGCCGCTGCCGCCGCCATCTCCTCCTCCATGTTACCGCCCAACTACATGAAACGCTCCGACTTTCTCTCGGTGGACGAGTACGCCATCTACGTGAGGGACAATCTGACGGCGGGCATGCTGGTGCGGTGTTGCAAGAGCTACGAGGAGGTGGAGTACGGCGACGTCGGCCAGGTGATCAAGATCGATCCGGAGGGTTTGCACGATCTGAACGTTCAGGTGGCTTGGCAGCGGAAAGGCGGCACTTACTGGGTCCGGTTCATCCACATCGAGTTGCTGGGTCATCCGCCGACGATACCGGGGCCGGCGGCGCTCAAGATCGGCGACAAGGTGAGGGTGAAGGCGTCGGTGACGGTGCCCAAGTACAAGTGGGGCTCGGCGAATCATCAGAGCGTCGGCGTGGTCACCGGCATCATCAACAACGGGAAGGACGTGTCGGTGGACTTTCCGCAGCAGAGCGGCTGGACCGGCTGCGCGATCGAGATGGAACGGGTGCCCTCCTGCCATCACTCGGTCTCGTGCAACTCGTGCCACCTGCTGCCGATATCCGGGCCGCGTTTCAAGTGCAAGTACTGCGACAGTTACAACCTCTGCGAGAACTGCTTCTACACGAAACGGTGCCACCGGCACGGCTTCAATCGGATCGTGGAGCCCGGCTCGGCGGCGGTGTACGCCGGCAAGCCGGGAAGATATCACAGGCAAGACTACGCGGCCGAGTCGTCGTTGATCGACGACTGGTCAAAGTGCATACGAACGTTGAGCGTCTCGTCGCGTGAGAGCTGGGCGACACGGCTGGTGGACGGGTCCGGCCTCTACTGGCAGAGTTGCGGCTCTCAGGGTAAACACTGGATTCGCATGGAGATGCTGCCGGGCGTGCTGGTGCACTCGCTGAAGATCACGGTGAACCCGCAGGACAGCAGCTACATGCCGTCGCTGGTCGCGGTGAACGTCGGCGAGTCGTTCAACAGTCTGGTCGAGTTGGCGGCCATCAGCGTCCGCCACACCGACACCAGCGTCCTTCTGCTCCAGGACAGCAAGGAGTACTACCCGTGCGTCGAGATTGCGATCAAGCAGTGCCGGAACGGCGGCATCGACTGCAAGATACGCGGCCTGCAGATAATCGGCAAGCGAAAGACGTTCGAGAGTCAGTTGACCACGTCCGTGTCGTTCCTCGCCTCGGACTGGGAGATCGTTCAGGAACAGATGAACAACACGCCGCAGCGGGGAACGACCGCGGCGGCGGCGACGACGACGACGACGACGACGACGACGACGACGGCGGCGGCGGCGGCGGCGGCGGCGACTGCGTCGACGGCGGGAGAGTCACCGCCGCAGCACTCGGCCGTCTACGTCTGGGGCCTGAACGACAAGGATCAGCTGGGTGGGCTGAAGGGATCCAAGATCAAGCTGCCGGTTTACAGCGAGATTCTCGCCAAGTTGAAGCCGGTTCACATCGCCGGCGGCAGCAAAACGTTGTTCGTCGTCAGCCAAGAGGGGAAACTGTACGCGTGCGGCGAGGGGACGAACGGCCGGCTGGGCCTCGGCGACGACAGCAACGTCTGCGAGCCGAAACCGATCCCGTTCCTCAGCCAGTACGTGATCAAGAAGGTGGCGGTGCACTCGGGCGGCAAGCACGCGCTGGCCCTTACCCAGGACGGCAAGGTGTTCTCGTGGGGCGAGGGCGAGGACGGGAAGCTCGGCCACGGGAACTCGGTCTCGTTGGACAAGCCGAGGCTGATCGAGTCGCTCCGGTTGAAGAGGATACGGGACGTGGCGTGCGGCTCCGGCCACTCGGCCGCGATAACCACCAGCGGGGAACTGTACACGTGGGGCCTCGGCGAGTACGGCCGGCTCGGCCACGGCGACACCGCCACGCAGCTGAAGCCGAAGCTGGTGCAGTCGCTGGTCGGTCAGCGGGTGATGCAGGTGGCGTGCGGCAGCCGGGACGCGCAGACGATGGCGTTGACCGCCGACGGCTCGGTCTACTCGTGGGGCGACGGCGACTTTGGCAAGCTGGGTCGCGGCGGCAGCGACGGTTGCTACACGCCGCTGTTGATCGACCGGCTGAACGGTCTCGGCGTCGTGCAGATCGAGTGCGGCGCTCAGTTCTCACTGGCGTTGACCAAGTACGGCGAGGTGTGGACCTGGGGCAAGGGCGATTACTTTCGGCTCGGTCACGGCAACGACCACCACGTGCGAAAGCCGACGATGGTCGAGGGTCTACGCGGCAAGAAGGTGATACACGTGGCGGTCGGCGCTCTTCACTGCCTGGCGGTGACCAGCACCGGCCAGGTGTACGCCTGGGGCGACAACGACCACGGTCAGCAGGGAAACGGCACCACCATCGTCAACAAGAAGCCGTCGCTGGTCCACGAGCTGGACGACGCGAGAGTGAATCGGGTCTCTTGCGGCTCCAGTCACAGCGTCGCCTGGGTGTTGACCGACCAGCCGGCCACCAAGAATCAAGAACCGGTCATGTTCCCGATCGCCAAGGATCCGCTCGGTCAAACGTCCCTCAAGTTCAAGTGCAGCAGCAGCAGCAGCAGCACGACGATCGACGGCGCAACAACCGCCGGCATCCCCAAGATGATTTCCTCGCCGGCAAGCACCGGCGACACGGTCCTCGTCAACCAGAGTACCGTCGGCGGCGGCGGCGGCGGCGGCGGCGGCAACCATACCACCCTCTCCAGCAGCGGCAATCGACCTTCCCTCTCGAGAATCATCCTCTCGCTCGAGAGCAACGTGGCGAAGCAGCAAGCGTTGCAGCACGTCATCAACGCTCTTCGTATAATACAAGCTCGAATCATCGTGGTGACGGCGTTACGTAGTCACTCGACGTTAAAGTCTGGCAACAACACAACCGTGCCGAGCAACGTGCCGATCTGTGGTCCGGGAGCGACCGGAGTCATCGGCGGAGGTGGTGGTGGAGGATTCTCGACGACGAGCGACGCGATCACCAACGGACCCAACAACGAGGTGACGGTGACGGCGGCGACTGGCCACCATCAAAACGTCTATCAAAACGTCGGAGAGAGCGCGCAGGGCGGCGGAGAAGCGCCGGCGAACGCAGCCGAACTGGTCCACTTGGTCGGCGGCGGTGGCGGCGTCGGCGTCGGCGTCGGCGTCGGCGTCGGCGTCGGCGTCGGCGTAGGCAACAGTCCGCGAACCAGTCCCGAGTCCGAAGACTACCCGTCCTCGTTGGCGGCCGTCTTTTTCCCCTCCATGTCCAGCTCGGCGAGCTTGTCGTCGCGCGCGTCGAAAATGTCGAGCAGCGCGATGAGCGTGATCGCGGCCACGCTCACGTCCAACGCACAGATAGTCGGCGAGGGTGTCACGGTCGCCGATCCGAACCTGGACGACTTCACCTGCACGTTGACCGAGGAGGACGCGAGAATGTTGGTCGATCTGTTGAAACTGGCGGTTGGCAACAGGGTGTGCAAAGGGGCGCGAGAGACGATATCCTCGGTGCTGATCGCGCTGGCCAAGGCGAACCACTCGATTCGCAGCATGCTGCTGGAGCTGTGCATCACCGAGCTCGAGGACACGGTGGCCAACTCGAGCAACAAGAGCAAAACGCCGCAGCCGGTCGTGCAGGAGAGCCCGCACCCGTACATCGACGGCACCACGTTGACCGGGCAGGTGATGGTGCCCGGCGCCGAGTGTCTCCGGCTCGAGTTCGACCGACGTTGCTCCACCGAGAGACGTCACGACCCGCTGACCATCATGGACGGTAGCAATCGCGTGCTGGCGGTCAAGTCCGGCAGAGAGTGGAGCGAGTGGGCCGCCGAGATTCGAATCCCCGGCGACGAGCTGAGATGGCGATTCTCGTCGGACGGGTCGGTGAACGGCTGGGGATGGCGATTCACCGTCTACCCCGTCTTCTTCACCCTCTCGCCGCACGAGCGCATCTCCGACAGGGCGGTGCTCTCGCAGCCGGCAATCGCGCTCGCCGAGTCGCTCCTCGACAACGCGCTCATCACCTTGGACAGGAACATTGCCACACGGCTGGCCGCCACGCTGGCCCAGTGCAGCCAGCTGAGCGTGCTGTCCGCCCAGCAGCGGATGTGGGCGTTGAGAAAGTTGCAGGTCGTGTACACCAGCGGCCCGGGAATACGCCCGGAGGTGGCGCTCTCCTCGCTGCTCGGCTCGCTGCCGAAAGCCCTGCTCAGGCAGTACACGTACGAGGATCCACTGGTACGCGGTGGCAAACAGTTGATGCACAGCGACTTCTTCAAGGTTCTGGTCGCGCTCGCCTGCGACCTCGAGCTCGACGGGATGCAGTGCTGCTCGGAGATTCACAAGTGGTCGTGGTTCCGACGGTACTGCCTGTCCGCTCGGGTCGCCAAGTCTCTCGTCAATCGGACCCCCCTTCCGAAGGCCTTCTGCCTCGAGGTTACCAAACGTATCAACGACATGATCACCACCGACGATTACGAGGGCCACACCAGGGACCACGAGAATCACGAGCTCTTTAAGCAGGAGCACGACGAGCAGCTGTTGCAGTGGTTGAACCGCAGGCCGGAAGACTGGACGTTGTCGTGGGACGGTTCTGGCGCCATCTACGGCTGGGGTCACAATCATCGCGGCCAATTGGGCGGCCTCGAGGGAGCCAAGGTAAAACTGCCCGTCCTCTGCGAGAGCTTGTCCGCCCTTCGACCGGTTCAACTCACCGGCGGCGAGCAAACTTTGTTCGCGGTCACTGCCGACGGCAAGGTCTACGCAACCGGTAAATAATTCTCTCTCTCTCTCGACTTTCTTCTTTTTTTTTTCTTTTCTTTTCTTTTCTTTTCTTTTCTTTTCTTTTCTTTTTTCTTCCCGTCGTTCCCGCTCGTCAATCGTTACTACATCGTTTACGCAGGTTACGGCGCCGCCGGCCGTCTAGGTATCGGAGGAACGGACTCGGTCATGGTACCGACTCTCTTGGAATCCATCCAGCACGTGTTCATCAAGAAAGTGGCTGTGAACTCGGGTGGCAAACACTGTCTTGCACTGAGCTCCGAGGGACACGTTTATTCTTGGGGCGAAGGGGACGATGGAAAGCTGGGGCATGGAAACAGGACCTCGTACGAGCGGCCAAAGTTGATCGACCAGCTGTTGGGCACCGAGATCGTTGACGTTGCTTGCGGTGGCCATCACAGCGCGGCAATCACCAGCGCCGGTTGGCTCTACACGTGGGGTAAAGGTACGTACGGTTTCCGACAACGAAACGACGAACAAACGCAAAACGCGTCTAAAGTTGAAAGTCTGAAATTTCAGGCCGATACGGACGACTGGGCCACGGGGAGAGCGAGGATCAATTGTCGCCGAAACTGGTCGAGGCTCTCCAAGATTACAAGGTAATCGACGTAGCTTGTGGAAGCGGCGACGCGCAAACTCTCTGCGTCACCGACGACGACAACGTCTGGAGTTGGGGCGACGGCGATTACGGAAAGTTGGGCAGAGGTGGTAGCGACGGCTGTAAAATCCCGATGAAGATCGAGTCGCTCGCTGGCCTCGGCGTCATCAAAGTCGAATGCGGCAGTCAGTTTTCCGTCGCTCTGACAAGATCGGGAGCGATATACACCTGGTAAGAATCCGAATTCGATTCGTCTCATTCTCTCGCCGATATCCTTGGCGTTGTTCTTGACAACAATTCTGAAACTCTTTCGATACTCACAACTATATATTTATATATATATATATATATATATATATATATATATATATAGAGAGTTGAACGCTCGCTGTGTACCAGCTACAATTGTCCATAAAAATTCGCATCAGTTCGCAGTTAATGATAAAAGTCGTGTCGAAAGGGTTCAACGAAATCAAAGGGTCAAACCAAATCACATCAATTTTGCACGTAAACGCAGGGGTAAGGGCGATTATCATCGTTTGGGTCACGGAACGGACGATCACGTTCGAAGGCCGCGAAAGGTGGCAGCTCTGCAAGGGAAAAAGGTCATCTCCATAGCGACCGGTTCGCTGCATTGCGTGGCGTGCACCGACAAGAGCGAAGTCTTCACTTGGGGAGACAACGACGAAGGCCAGTTGGGCGACGGAACGACGAGCGCGCTTCACAGACCGCGGCTGGTTCACGCGCTCCAGAGTAAAAAGATCACTCGGGTTGCCTGCGGCAGCGCTCACACTCTGGCGTGGAGTACGGTGAAAGCCACGCAGAGCAGAATGCCCGTCACCACGCCGATGGAGTACGACTTGGTAAAGGACTTGCCCTTCCCCGTGTTGCACAACCGACTGGTCCTCCTCCATCACTTTGCCGAGTTACTCTGCCCGTGTTTGCCAATGTTTCCGACGACCGGCCCCGTCAGCTTGAGCAAATTGGCGCCGATGCTGGTGTACAGCATCAAAGAAGCAACCTTCCGCAAGGTGGTTCAGGCAACGATGGTCAGAGACCGGCAACACGGCCCGGTGATTGAACTGAATCGGATACAAGTGAAACGAGCCAGAAGCAAGGGCGGACTAGCAGGGCAGGACGGCATGAAGTCCGTCTTTGGTCAAATGGTCTCCAAGATGTCATTGCTCACGCAGGATGTACTCTTCTTTCCCCACAGAGTCTGGAAAGTGAAATTCATCGGTGGGTTAAACGAAATTTTACTACTACTCGAGTTCGTAGCTGGAGGAAATAAGGAAAAATGCAAACCAACACACGCGAAAATAGGTACACATACGTTCGAGCAAGTAATACCTTGTGTCTCGTGTTCTCGACAGGGGAGAGCGTGGACGATTGCGGCGGTGGATACAGCGAGAGTATAGCGGAGATGTGCGACGAGTTGCAAAACGGTTCTCTGCCTCTGCTCATACCGACACCGAACGGCCGTGACGACAGCGGCACCAACAGAGATTGTTTCCTCCTCAATCCGATAGCCGACTCGCCACTGCACATGAACATGTTCCGATTTCTCGGCATTTTAATGGGCATAGCGATAAGGACCGGTAGCCCGTTGAGCTTGAATCTGGCAGAGCCTGTGTGGAAACAGCTTGCAGGCTTATCTTTAACACCGGCGGATTTAACCGAAGTTGACAGGGACTATGTCCCCGGGTTGCTGTGCATCCGAGATATGGACTCCGACGAAAAGGTGTTCCAAACACTTGAAATGCCATTCTCCACGCCGTCTGCCGTAGGACACGACGTACCTCTGTCCAGCAGGTATTTATTTATTTCGTCGCCGTATTCGATAATTCGTTCCCTCCTTTCCTCTTCTTTTCATCTTTCCTCCGACTAAGAGTACTCTACTCTTCTTTCTTTCTTTCAGGTATCGAAAAATCACTCCGGAAAATAAGCACGAGTACGTCCAGCTGGCACTGAATTACAGATTGCACGAGTTTGACGCTCAGGTAGCGGCTGTCCGCGAAGGAATGTCGAAAGTTATACCCGTGCCATTTCTCGCGTTATTCAGCGGACCCGAGTTGGAAACGATGGTGTGCGGCAGTCCGGATATACCACTCACCTTGTTAAAATCTGTCGCCACTTATAAAGGTATAGAAGCCGTAACACAACACGACTCTACCAATTAAATGATTAAATTTTCCAATCCAATCTCCACGTGCTTTCTACGTGCTTTCTCTAGGCATCGAAATGACCGCTCCCCTGATACAATGGTTCTGGGAAGTGATGGAAGAATTTTCCAACCAAGAGAGATCTTTGTTTCTACGATTCGTTTGGGGTAGGACGCGTTTGCCGCGTACAATTGCCGACTTTCGTGGAAGAGATTTCGTCCTGCAGGTAATGTCGGGAGACTCTCCCAAAATTTCCAATGCATTTCTCTCAAATTGTTCACATTTGTTGTCTTTTTCTTGTTTCAACTCTAGGTTATGGACAAATACAATCCACCGGATCATTTTCTTCCTGAAAGTTACACGTGCTTTTTTCTATTGAAAATGCCGAGGTATTCGTGCAAGCCAGTGCTGCGACAAAAATTAAAATACGCGATACATTTTTGTAAAAGTATCGACACCGACGAATACGCTAGAGTACAAGCTGCGACCAATTCAGACACCGAAGAAACGGACAGTCTCGCTAGCGAAGAGTATATATCGCTTTAGTAAAATTGATTCTGCAATTCTTCCTTTTTTTTTTTTTTTTTTCTTTTGTTTTCCGTACAGTCAACTGAATCACTTCGAGTCACTTTGATCAATCAATTGATTCTCGACTGTTAGAATGATACTTTCGATTAAGTAGAAAAAATTTTTTTCTTGTAAATCTGAACAATTTAGATTTATTAGTCTCAACATCTGTATAAGCTGCTCTCCCTCTGACTTTCTCTCTTTCTCTTTTCCTTCCTTCCTCTCTCTCTCTCTTTCTCTGTCATTCTCTCATTCTCTCACGCAAACGTGAATAATTCAAACTGTATTATAAAAGTTGTATTATTTGTCATCGAAAAAATACTTCAAAGTATTATTGAAAATATAGATATTATATACACATATATATATATTATATATATATATATATATACACACACACACACACGCTACGATAATTAATATACAATTTCTAATGTATACGTGTATGTATTATTCGTACACTTGCGTACACAGAATTCTTTTCGCTTATTTATTTATTTCATATTTATATTTAATATCTGTATAATTGAAAGACTGTATTATATATATGTACTTTATACGTATACGTAGGTACGCACGAGCGTGCTGGTGTCAAAATGACATTGTCGTACATCTTCGTTTGGCTTTTATAATTGTTACCGCGGAATGATGTGAATACAAGAAATACAAATTGTTATATTAAGTAACGCGTATGAAAGACTTTGGTTTCTGTGTAATATTGAGTAATATTTTTGGACAACATTTACTTTCACATGTCAGACAATTGAGAAGTATTATGGAAAGAATGTTAATTAATTATATAATTTGTTATATTTGACACCTTTAAAGATTAATTCTTAGTTCTTCGTAGGGAAAAATTGCCTTTCTTAAAATTATCGTTAATGAAAAATACAACAAAAGCTTCACTCTTTCCACACGATTCTTATATGATAGAATAAACAAACTAGTTAATGAAAGTATTTTATATTTTCGTATCAATTTACAAAAGGAATATTGCTTTTTAAATTCTTTTCGTTTAATTGCGCATTAATACAGAATTATTATTGAATATTGTACAAGATTAATGAGTACGTTTGATAATGCGAATTGATAAACATGGCTATTAAAAAGATAAAACGCTGACAGAGCAACTCTCACTGTATGAAACGCAACATTGAGATACTGTAAATTCATATTCTTTCGTTTCATATGAAAAATATGTTTCACTTAATAAAGCACAAGGTATTTGTAACTGTTTATTTTCGTTCATATTCAAATTACTAAAATTCTAATAAATTATTTTCAGTTTCATAGAGTGTATATTAATTACACAAAATCAGTAACAAGAAAACAGAATTTATCATCCACAATACAGCTCCCAAATTATGCAGATGTTGTAATAATAGGTACGTTTCTTTGATTCTTCAAATCTATAAATTCCTCTAGACATTTTCTACCTTAACTTGAGTTCGAAATAACATTATACGTTAATGTGTTACTCTCAGGTGGAGGTAGCGCAGGTTGCAATGCACTTTATCATTTTGGAAAACGTGGGATCAACGCTGTGCTATTGGACAAATCAAAATTAACATCTGGTACTACGTGGCACACCTCAGGTCTTGCGTGGAGTATACGAGGTCCAAATGATGTTGAAATGGAATTATTAGACGCTACAAAGCGCATTTTTAACTCTCTGGAAAAGGAAACTGGTATAAATCCAGGATGGATAAATAATGGTGGAATTTACGTTGCACGTTCCAACGTAATAAACATTTCTTCTCCTCTCTTTTATTTCTTCTAGACAATTGTTCCTTTAACGTCACCATTATTTTTATTGTTACAATTCTTGTTTCTGTTGGTATCTAATATTATTTACATACTACAGGACCGATTGAACGAATTTAGAAGAGCAATCACTGGTTCAAAAATTTTTGGTATTCAAGCGTATTTAATTTCTCCCCAAGAAACAAAAGAGTTGTTTCCTTTATTGAACGAGAACATTATTCAAGGAGCAATTTATTCTCCAGAAGATGGTGTCATTGATCCGACCATGCTAATTAACGCTTTAACAAAATCAGCAAAAAGTAATGGTTGTCAGGTAAAAAAGTTACATAATTAAAGTTCTTCCCTTTTTTTTTTCTTCCTTTTATAGATAAGAATAAACCAAGAAAATGTGAAGCTATAAAAAATTATGGTGTAGATTATCGAAGACTGTCCTGTTACAAAGATACTCACAAAGGAAACTATTGGGAATAACAAAAAGGTTTACGGTGTAGAGACGCCACATGGAATGATAAAAACAGATGTTGTTCTCAATGCTGCCGGAGCTTGGTCAAAAAATGTAGCAAACATGATTAACGCGAATATTCCTCTGACACCAATGAAGCATGCTTACGTTGTTACAGAACCCATAAAAGGATTGGAAAATCTTCCAAATGTTAGAGATCCTGATGCAACTCTGTACTTTCGAATTCGAGGTAGCACAATAGCTATAGGTGGTTATGAACAAAATCCTATTATACTCCCATCTGTAAGTTTATCTTGACGCAGAGTATCATCGACAAGGAGTGTTGAATACAATTCGGACAAGGAAACAATTTTATCAATATTAATTGTATACTTTGTTTGCATAAAAGGCTCCGGAGGACTTTTCATTTTGCCTCTACGAATTAGATTGGAACGTCTTCAACGCACATTTAGAATCAATGATTCAGTTAATTCCTCAACTATCGACAACTGGAATACGAACTACGATATATGGACCAGAAAGTTTCACTCCTGATCATAAACCAATTATGGGTATTTAAAAACATTGTTCTCCTTCTCTCTATGTATAATATAATATTGGATAATCCTATATTTCACGTTTAAAAGGTGAAGATCCACATTGTTATGGATTTTTTTACTCTTGTGGTTATAATAGCGCCGGAATGATGTTGGGAGGTGGATGTGGAGAACAAATTGCACATTGGATAATTCATGGGCAACCAGATAAATACATGTTCAACTATGACGTCAGAAGGTTCTTCGAATATTTCTACTTCTCTTCCCCCCTGTTTCAATTCTATCCAATTATATTAATACTTTTTGTACTTGTTTGTTTATTCGTTTCACAGATTTTCACCAGAACAAAGAAACAATGCGGTCTGGATACGCGAAAGGTGTCATGAAGCCTATGCAAAGAATTATAGCATTGCATTTCCACATGATCAACCATTAAGTGGTAGAAATCTTAAATTGGATCCATTTCACAGTGTAAGATACATACTGTTCTTTATCTAATGATGTCAATATTTAGTGAACACGCAATGAACAAAAACAAGTTGTCCTTTTACTCACTTGCTCATTTACCACAGTTACTTGTTGAGAAAGGTGCTATTATGGAAGAGTACCAAGGTTGGGAACGCCCTGCGTGGTTCTTTCCAACTAACAAAGTAAAAATTTTATCGTACGATTATGGTGGATACTACGGAGTAGCAAAAAATCAAAATGATAATTATCGTGCATTGATAGAGAAGGAACGTGGTTTTCATTTCTCACCATATGACGAAATGGTATGCCAGTGAAATGAAAGTACATTTAAAAATAGAGAAAGACAAGTAAGAAAATAAAAGAAGCTATCAATAATGAAATGATTTTTCATCAGATTCGAGAAGAAGCTCTTGCTTGTTGTCAAAATGTCGTTTTATTCGACACATCTCACCTTGGAAAATTCTATCTTTGTGGACCTGATGCCCAAAATACAGCAGATTATTTGCTCACTGCAAGAACGGATTGCAACTTCAATAAGACAGTTTACTCTTGTATGTTGAATCATGCTGGAGGAGTAGAAGCAGATTGTACAGTCACAGTGTTGGAGCCTGGTTCCAATGGAATTGTAAATCCAACATTTAAAGGAAAAGCTTACTATATCGGTAAATTAACTTTAAAATAATATTTCGTCACTTTATGACGATAATTTATTATATATCTTAATTGAACATTTTCATTAACAGTTAATGTAAAATCAATTTCTTATATTATTATTTTTTTGAGACTAATAAATATTTATTACGTTTATAAATTTTTTAGACTTTTTTCTTATATCTTTCCATTAACAAGTTATTTATCATTCAATTTATCATTATCTTTATCAGTATGTTTTTTTTTATATTTATTAACAAAATTTCCATTAATTTTTTTTAAGGCATTTAATACCAGTAAACTCTCCAAAAACACTAATACATTTTGTAGTAATTATTGAATTAATTAGATTAATTACTAACAAATTAACGTCACTACTGCGAATTATTAAACGAGGATTGCTTATTTTCGTTTTCAGTCTCGAATGGCACGTCAATTTATCACATAAAGAAAGTAATTACAGAAAAGGGTTTTAATGTATCTTTACACAATGCTACCGAGCAAATTGGTATTTTATCCGTGCAAGGGCCCAGCAGGTACGGTACACACATTTTTATCATTTAAATTTACATCTATGGAGTAATATGTATCAACTTGTAGCCGAAAGGTAATCGAAACATTGATCGAGGATGAAATCTCAGAAGAATCTTTCGCTTATTCGACTACAAAATTGGTAAACATTAAAAACGAAAAGGTACGCTTAATTAGATTTAGTTCTGTTGGTGAACTGGGTTTCGAATTGCATATTCCAAAATCATCTTGCCAATTGGTCTATAAAGCGTTAATAGACTGCGGTAAATCATACGACATGAAACATGCCGGATATCGAGCGCTGTACAGTCTCAGTTGCGAAAAGGGTATGTAACCAATTAAAATGTGATCGGTTTGTAAAACGTAGACATATTATTAACGTTATACTTTTCTCAGGATACTTACTGTGGGGTTCAGATCTCAGAACAGATGATAACCCCATTGAAGCTGGGCTTGGATTTACTTGCCGCGAGACTGGCGAATATCTGGGAAAACCGGCTGTTGACCGATTGCGAAAGATCGGTATAAAAAGGAAACTGGTACATGTTCGTTTGAACGAGTATGTATCATGAAATATTATTGACAATTTTCACATTCTTTTCGATTTTTGACAAAATAATACTAATGCGCATACGCTTTGACACAGTGTTGTTCCATTATGGGGTATGGAACTTATTTACAGAAATGGACGTCTCGTTGGTTATTTACGTCGTGTCGAACAAGGTTACACCAGTAGAAATGTTATTGGACATGGGTAAGGAAAGTGACATTGAATACGACGATAAAAAAGAATATAAAATTAATATTAGTTAATATCAGGTACATCAGACATCCTAATGGGGAAAATGTAACAAAGGAATTTGTGGAAAATGGCAATTATGAAATTGAAGCTATGGGCAAACGATACACAGTGGATCTCTGTTACTGAAATATATTTATAAAATACCATTCCAGGATACACAAATAAACATGATTCGCAAGCTTAAGAGATTTTAAAAGATTGAACTGCCTATTTACATCTACCTACATTTGCATCTATCCTGCTAATGGATTGGCATGTATAGTTACACTATTTATTCGAGTTTCTGTAAGAGGCCTGTAATTTTTAGGATTTACCGGCAATTTCTCCAATTGTTCAAGAGTTTCCAAACCATCTATTACCCTAAAAGTAACAAAAAAATTCATTCACTAAAATCATCAGATTGAATAGATTTTAAACGTTGAGATAAATCAGAGACTAAGCATATTTACTTTCCAAATAAAGTGTACTTCAAATCCAAGTGTGGCTGAGGACCGTACGTCATGAAAAACTGACTCCCATTCATATTTGGGCCATTATTGGCCATGGAGACCAATCCTCTCGCGTTGTGTTTCAATTCTTCCTTAAATTCATCTTCAAATTTGCGATTCCATATTGATGTTCCACCTTTGCCGGTGTGCGTAGGATCTCCAGTTTGCACGATGAAACCTTTTATATTTCTATGAAACAGGCAGTTGTCATAGTAATTGCTAGCACACAGGGCAAGAAAGTTCTGCGAAATACACAGTTGTCAGAAGCATGGTACGAATTTGCACTGCAAAACAAATGTAAAAAAAAATAATAATAATTCCTACCTCGCACGTTTTTGGGCACAACTCGCAGAACAATTCTATCTTTATGTCCCCAACGTCAGTGTGCAAAGTGACGCTCTGCAAATAAAGAATTGCTCGTCATTATTCATATACGTCGATCGACTACAGAACCTACGACGTTATCGAGCAAGAGTAAAAAAATTCGCACCATCTTTGACAGAGTTGTCCATTAATACAAGACAGAGGAAACATATCGTTTGTTACTCTGTGCATCTATTGCGCTTCAACAAATAAAAAAAAAGGCAAACGCACATGTATACGTAGACGTAAAGTCGGCCATCTTGAATTTCATAGAGCTACCAACGAAATCAAGTGCGCGTATTTATTTCGGAATCGAACATTTGTCAACACGTCGATTAAAAAATAAACGACAAGGTAGTATAAAATAGCGGAAGAATATATACCTGCGAAATAAAAGCGACGCGTTTAAACGATTCGTAAATTATGAGAAATAAATTTTATGAAAAATAGGCAAGTATTTGTAATTAGTTTGACTTTGGTTCAAAGCCGCAAGGGAACATCGTAGTAGCAGCGCCACTTATTTCTGCTGAATGTTCCGCTCATTTCTTGTTACAAGTAACGGTTAGGTAAAAAAAGGATATTGGATACCGTGGCATAAGTTTAGCTTGTAAAAAGCTTTTGCTTGAACGTGATTCGAATCGAGGATACGATCGTCGTATTTCGCGTAATACTAATAATTCGGGAAGTAATTGATTGTAAAAATTATCGTAAAAGAGTGACAAGAAAATTCAGACAAGTGGCGCGTCTGTGCAAACGGCTCCTCTTTGGTTGCATGACGTAATTGTATTGATCGCGGAAGAAGAGCCGAAAGTCGCGCATTCGCCATCTTGGACGAATTGTGGAAAAGAAGTTTCTGTGTCTCGCAGGCGCGGTAACGCTTGTAATAATTCTAATCCGTGACAATCCGGACATTAATTAATTTAACTGGGAATTAACCCTTTTGTGAATTAGAAACCCATTTGGAGCGGACCAAGGTGAGTCATTATTTCTACGATTTACTTCCCCGTCCGAGTCTTTTTTTCTACGTGGAAACCTATCTGCGACTCTGTCGTCTGATCGCTCGCTTTCTGAAGCTTTTCCCTTTTTTCGTTCGACGTCCTCGGTACGGTACATCTCGATACTACTTAATCTGTTAATTCTCTTTTTATATATATTTTTTTTTTTTTTTTTTTTTTTTATTCTTTTTTTTTTTATTTTTTTTTTTTTTTTTTTTTTTTATACCAATCTTTACTCCCTCCTGTTGTTCGATTTATGCGTATATTTTGACGTGAATTTTTTTCCTTTTCCTTTTTTTTTTTCTTTTTGTTTTGAATTCTCTTCGTTCTGACATCGCGATTCTAGGGTTGGGTCCCACTCACGTCCCGCGTCCTTTTAATCATCGTTTCTTTGTTTATTCTGTCTGGTAGTTCAATATCCTGTCCGTCGTCCTTTATTTTCCTTTATTATCCGTGGCTCTCGCGTCTATTTCCTTCCCGTAACAAAGTTTTGCGAAACTCTTTTGTCCGCTTTCTATTCCCTAGAAGTATCGAGCAGCTCGACTTTTTCCTTCCACTATCGTTTTTCATCCACTGTTGTTTCTTCATTTCGCCAGACTCGTTTCGCCTAATATTTCATTTCTCAAATTATCATCGATGCTGAACAAAATTGATATGCGCCAGTTTTCTACATAATTTAATAACTATCGTTTGCGATAGCTTTCTTTCTTCTCTCTCTCTCTCTCCCCTCTCTCTCTTCCCTCTGGCCTTCCCTCTCTCTCTCTCTCTCTCTCTCCCTCTTCTTTATCTTCCTTGTTCATTCATTAGATTAATAACCATTGACTTTTTGTTTTTTTCTTTTCATTGTGTGTGTATTTTTGTTGAATTGTAAACATTAAACAAAAATCAAAAATATTCTTTCTCTTTTCTTTTCTTTTCTTTTAACAAATCCAAGGTCATTTTGATTTCTTTAAAAATGAAATCATGTAATTCTTTCCCATCATACTGTAGGGATACTAAAGTGCATTTAACAAAGAGGAAGTATAATATGTTTGCTTCTACAGTATCAGGTTTATAGCAGCAAAAATATTAATATTTGTGTTTGTTTCAACATTTTATGTAGTATAAATACGAGCACAGAATATTAAAAATGACTGTCATCTTATGTTAGACTTTGATCTGATGAGATCAATTTTATGTATATTTAAATATTAAGCTGTTTCTTATATATTTTCTTCTCTCCTGAAAGTTTTAAATGAATATATTGTTCATACTAAATTGATCAAGTAATGGTCTATGTTTACATTTACAATATCTAAAAGTAACTGAACTAAAAAGATAACTGTTACATTATTGCAAACTTGACATGTGGACAAATGTATTTCTGATTTTTATTCTTTAAAATCCTATTCATTTTAATGTCCTATTATATAATAGAAAAATGAATAATCCTAAAATGACATTAAATCCACTATAAGGAAGAAATATTTCCAAAATACTTGTTATTGTTATGTGTTGTATGTGAAACATTTGTATAAACCCAGAAATTTTGGGAGATGTTCAAAAATAGTCATATTATGAATGTTCATATTGCACAATAATTATTTGTACATGATGTTGCAAAAAAATATTTTTGTTTCCTTTGCTTCAGTAAGAAAAAAACTGTTGTAGCTGTTTTGCTCATTAAAGTGTTAATAACATGTACAATTTCTTGTTACATTGGTGTAAATAACTATGAAACATATTGACAACTGTGAAACAACTAAATGAACATTGTATAGATAACATTAAGGATAACTGCAGACCTACTTAAAATATTTTGTATATAAACTATTCTAATATAAACTATTAAAAATATTCATATTTGTTTTTATACTGAATTATATATAATTTTGTTTTTATAATAAAATCCATAGGTATATGTGAATATCACTTATGATTTCAGACAAAGGGTTCGTTCTTTGGGTCTGATTGGTACTAAATGGTTGCCTGCAGACAGCATGTCTACTCTGTCAGGGCTTGTGTCGAAGGGGGAGAAAGGAAAATCCAAGTTTCAATCATTAGACATCAATAGCTTGTACCGGGTGAGTAGGGTGAGTTGGCCAAACAGTTTTGTTTATTCTCCTTTTCCCTTATTTTTTATTTCTTTGTCACTTTTTTTGTTTTTTCCTCTTTTTCCTGCCACACAATGTTTCTTTGAACATATTGAACATATTTACCTTCATTCATATAATTTATATTTGATTAAAAGTTTTTATTAAAAGAGTAAAACTATTGACAAGGAAATGATTGCTTAAAGAAAAGATATCCGGGATTGGTATCCGATCTATGCTTGCAGGGAGAATCTTTAGAACAACATCAACAGAAGAACACATTGCCACGCAAACATGGAATGCAAAGTCTTGGGAAAGTGCCTTCGGCACGGCGACCTCCTGCTAATCTGCCTAGTTTAAAAAGTGAACACAGCAGTAACGATCCAGCTGTCAGTCTTGTACCAAGCGGAGGGAGTGGTTGGGCCACTACCAAAGAGTCAACAACTACCACTACTGCTACAACCACTACGACTGTAACTGCATCAGATATATCTACTGTAAATTTCGTAAAAATACACATTTATTCTGTAAATTTTTTTTTTTTTTTTTGATTTCTAGCAATATATAATCTCCTATGCTTCACGTTTATTCAAAGATATACAGTATTATCATTATAACGAGTATTATTATTATATTTTTTCACACACTTTATCATTGAAGATCATACATCCGGATTCTTATCTATCAGATCATATATGTTTCCGTTACTGTTGTAGTGTTTTTCTGATTATATCGTTATTTTGTATTTTCTGTTGTAAAACTTCTGTCTTAAGTATAACTACATTTTGTTTGTTTATATTGACAAAAATATGTTCCTTATACGTAATGTTTTGAAGTGATTGTAGAAATTTTGTATTTGTATGTTTATTATTGTTATTGTTGTTATTGTTGTTGGTATTATTACCGTCATTATTATTTTACACACGTACATATTATATACAGGACTTCATATTCTTGCTTTCAACATAAATATTAGGAATTACAAAGGTAATTAATGTGATCAATTATTTTATTGCCAGGCAAATTCCTCAACAGCACAATGTGTGACAGGAACTATCACGACATCATTGCATCCATTACTGCCAGGACAACAAAATACTTCACAGTCTTCATATTCTTCCGATGTAAACAACAAATCGTCATGGAGTGCAATAATGAGCAGATCTGGAGATGGTATGTGTAGCTATGAAAAAAAGTACATATATGTAATGATGTAAGATATTTATCTAAGTATGTTTTTTTCCAAATTCATGACGTATAGTGTTATTTATATTATTATTATTATTATTATTATTATTATTATTATTATTATTATTATTATTATTATTATTATTATTATTATTATTATTAT